AGTCACGTGTATCGCAGAGATGACGATAGTTTGAAGGAATTAATTCTGGGAACGTTAAGGCGAGAATATCAAGAGAACGATCACGAACTAGATGGTCCGACCAAATTAATAATTCAGCTGGAAACTCATTCTGTAAAATTCTCAGAGCAGCTAAAGATAGAGACCAACGGAGAAAAATTGTTAGGAATATTGGAAAAAATCACGATTCTCAGTAATCGGGAAACGACAAGAGAGAGATTAAGTGTATCGAATAGTTTCTGGGGTGTTTGGCTTTATTATAGAGATAGTACCTATCTCTTAGAACTGCCAAATCGAACATCATAGATGGAAGACGGTACTAGATGATTTTCATAAGACACACAACTCTTACTTATGGCCCCTGCACCTGCATTTTTGTGCAATAAGTGTTATTTCTGCCTATTTAAAAGTATGTATGTTTCAAGGTTGTTTGGCCAGGTAGTCGAAGAGAGATGTTTGTTTTAAGTTCTGAGACACGAACTGGCCGCGACACGTGAACGGAATTTGAATTACGTTTGTTTTGGAGTCTAAGGAAAGATTTAGGTAGTGTAGCAGAATCATTCGAGCTAGAAAGACGTTTGACGGCTTTGAATCAACAGCCGATATTTTTTGTGTAATGTTTTAAGACCGGTCAAGGTGATTTTTTTACTCTTTGCAACAATTGCATTTTAGAACAGAGTAACTACCATAAGATTTGTGCAGTATACCGGATTATAGTACTGAACCAATTACAATTAAAATCAAATAGATCGAGTAAAATCATATTTTTTGTACGCACTGTGAAAACTCTAAATAAAACGCAATATAACACCAATAATATTTAGCTAACAACCAACACTTAAACACCTAGAACGTGTTCTAGTATATAAAATATACTTATCTTAATTTTCCCATTTTTTCTCAATTTTTCTTTCCCCACTACTATGTTTAAATAAAATCTGTAGTACAAAAATAAAAATCCACCCAGTCACACCAAAATCACATATTTCGGATTAATTTACTAAAAACTACTTTATCGGCGCATCCTTCGAGACATTGTCTCTTTAGATTCTTAACTAACCCAGTAATAATAGTTTTAATGTTTAATATAATTTCAAATCGGTCAAACTTTTGTAAAATTCTTTGCAACTCTCAATAATTTTAATCAATTTTTTTAACCGCATTAAATAGAATTGGATTTTATCTAAGTTGTTGGAGCTAAATTTTGTCTATTTTCAGAATGAGGACAAAAAAAATAATAGACTAAAAGGTAATCTACGATATTACGATACTTGTGACGCGTTATCAACAAAATAAGAAAAAGCTTACACTTAGCTAGAGTAACAAACGGGTGATCGAAAAAGGGGTGATTGAAATGTAGAACAATTTCTGGAGAAAATGTCTGGCCTTGTAACTACAAGCTCCTCTGTTCAGTAGTGTTTGTGTCTCGTTCTTTATTTCCAGTTTTCTTAAATATCTTTTAACTTGACCCTGCCATCGTGTTCTCCCTTTTGGTCTTTCTCCTTGTGGAGATCGCTTTTTTTCCTTTTTTGAATATATCTCTGTACATCGAAATATTAGGAATGTGTCTTAAGGGAACAGTCATGAAGTACTTTCTTGTTGTTATTGAGAAAATGAATTTGATGTTATTGTTTATATCAAATTAATGTTCTCAATAATAACAACAAGAAAGAGCTTCCTGACTGTCCCCTCAAGACACATCACTAATATTTCGGTGTATAAAAAGTCAAAGACCTACAGAAAATGCTAGGTTTTTAACAACAAGCCTTGTAGCAATATGTAAGTACCATTAACTCATATGTTGTACTCAATATCCAAATTTGGGAATTGACCGAAACTTATAGTCACAATGCGTTGTGAATTTCATTTATTTCTCACATCGTGTTTCGGGTATTTTTGACGTGCGTTGTGGATAAATTACAATGACCCACAATGAGAAACTACGAAGGCCGCCGGAAACGCACGACTAATTTCGCTTTTTGCCCAATATAAATACTTACAAAGGGAAATAGCAAAAGGTAGGTACAAATTTCCGTTTTTTTAACTATGCGTTAGGCACAGTCTTAAGGTACCTCTCTCTCTTTCTCTCTCTCTATCTCTCTTTATCTATCTCTCTCTCTATCTCTCTCTCTCTATCCCTCTCTCGCAAGTTCTTGTCAAAAAGTATTTAAACATTTTTTATTGTTTATAGGAATGGAGCATGAGTTAAAGAAAAAATACGCGAGATAGATAGAATATAACCCGAGAAATTATAAACTTAAATGTAAATTATGCCAGTTGAAGAAAAAAATTCCAAAGACAGGCTTGGTTGTCACGTCTATAATTTCTAAATATATGAACTGTAGATGTCAGGTAATTATAAAGAGCTAATTTATTTTAAACTACCAGGATCATTTGACTAAATTTTTGTTTTTGAGACCATTGAAACCAAAAAAGTACTTGAAGTGGCTGATCACTTGGTTGATACTTTTTTTCTAGTAGCTCCATATGTCTTGCAAAGTAATAACGGCCGTGAGTTTGGCAACTTGGTTATTGTAGAACTAACTACTATGTGGCCAGGTCTGAAAATAGTTCACGGTCGACCAAGACACTCACAAAGTCAAGGCTCTGTAGAAAGAGCTAGTCAAGATGTCCGGGTATTTTAATCACCTAGCTAAACGATAATTATAATACAAAATGCTCCGAAGGGTTGAGATTTATACATCCAAGAAAAGCAGATCTTTTCATACAGGAATTGGTATGAGTCCTTATAAGGCTATGTTTGGCAGGAGACAAACAAATGGTTAAGAAAATGCAGACCTTTCGAAAGATTCCTTGATAAACTACAAAATGAAGAAGACTTGCAAGAATTAATAAATAGCATGAAAAACGAACATGCTGATAATTACTTAAAAAAATTGAGAAGAAAGCAGCAGTGTAGAATCCTGTCAAGAGAATTTAGAGAATCAAGACAAATATATTAATAAACCTTTAGAAATCGTGGACAATAATAGCCTGATTAAAAATAATGAAGATGTACCCAATATACAAGAAGAAAATGTTAACGGCAATTTCAATGATCACTTAACCCAAAAAAGTAAGAGAATATTAAATGAGAAAGAAGAATCACATAAAATGATGAGAGTTCATCATCATTGGTGCTATTGGTACGAAAAGAAAAATGATGAGAGTTCAGGCATCAAATATGATATATGAGTCAAATAAAAGATTTGCTTCTTTAAAAAAAGAAACTAATGTTTTGATTCGAGTGCCAGATGTTGATAGAGGTCGATTAACTCCAAGAAATGTATTAGCCATTGTTTCTGAAATTAATAATGATGGCTTGTATAAACTCAGTACGAGAATGGACCACTGGATAGATTATTTTCAAGAAATGAACCAATTCGCAATTCATGTTTGAATCAAATGATAATAGTAGTAAGAAAATACCCTTGCGAACTGCAGTAAATATGTCATGCAAAGGTTCTGGTCAAGGTTTTCTCAGATGCAACTGTAAAAGGTTTTGTGACGACAATGAATGTTCCTGTAGACAAAGGACTAAACGATGAAATTCAAAGTGTCATGGGTCGCTGACATGTAAAAATAAATGAAGTAATTTTGGTTCTAAAAAATTTTGTTTTTAAAACACGTTCTGTGTACGTCAAAAATACCCAAAACGCGGTAGAAGAGTTAATAAAATAGATTTGTCAGTAAGTCTATTATTTATTTTTACAAACTTGTTTAAAATGGACTAACATGTGCAACCAATTCATTATCTTTATTATCTATTGGAATTATATCTAGTCTTCTGTTTAGTTTATCACTGTGTGTTTTCTTACTTTCTTCTTCCAATTTTTTTATTTTCCACGTTTAGTTTTCGCTTTGCTGTCTTTGTTATTGTATTATTTTTGACTAAGATATAATCAAGACTAAGAAGTGATCTGAGTCCACATTTTCTTCCCTATAAGATCCGTCGTCGTTAATTAAAGTTCTGTTTTTTCTTCTTACAGTGTAACATTTGTTTAATTAATATATTAAATTATTATAATTTATTCGTCTTCCGGGTTTGGACCGTGTCATTTGTGAGTGACCCAAAAGTGGGTTCATCTCGACGTTTCGCTACAATTGTATGTAGCTTCTTCAGGAGAACAAAGAAAAAGAAAAAGAAAAAGAAAACAAAAGACAGGAAGATGGGTAGTTAGCAACGGTAACTCAGTTACTCAACGCAACCAGAGGCGAATACTAACTACCAAGATTGGCATTTGGTCACAGTAACTCAACTACTCAACGCAGCCAGAGGTGAAAACCAAATGCCAGGACAGGGATTCACGTCCAACAGCTCAGAACACTAACGCGTCGAGAGGCGGGGATTCACTCCCCGCCTCTCGACGCGGGGAGAAAATATCTTTTCTTCTGTTTGATCTCTGAACCTAAATATCTTTCCTTATCTCATTTCTTTTCTAAGGTTTCTTAATTTTCTCCTTAAACCACAAAAAATTGAGTGGCGCCCTGTTTCTATCTTATCGTATCTTTGGTAATTTTACCCATCTATCTTTTTGTTTATTTCTGTATCTTTTCTAATATATCTTATCTTGTTCTACCTTTACTTATTTCGTCCGTTGGACCCATTCCCGGTTCCAAAAGCTAGTTTCGAACCCACGACTCGCTCTCCACCAACCATCCGGCTGCCGTCCGCAGTGTCTTCATTGGTGACCTTTCTAGCAACATCCAAAAAAGGTTTCCGAGTTTACAACATAACCTATTTTTTTATTGGAGTATCTAGGAGGAGAAATTTTACAAAAGTCGAGGGAATGAAAATTTCCAGATTGATCAACTAAAATTACTGGACTATACCGATGTACTAAAAATCTAATTATATTTATTTAGAAGTCTAACGGTGTCCACTAATGCTACTTGTGTAGTAGATTGCCCACCTTTTTTTGTTGATTTGATTTATTTCTAACCTTAAAGTTTGTAGTAGTATATCTAGAGGTTTGACGGGTTCATTTGTTTTCGATGAGGATTTGAAGCTGGAGTACTAAATCTCTGGCTAGTTTTAATACTGCTTGTACATTGTGCCTTTCAGCCATTTCTGCAAAACATAAATATTAGATTGTTATAAAAAATATGATATTAAAAATTAAGTAAACGGTACTAGTATAGTTTCAAAATTGTAGGCACTAAATTTTGAGAATTATCATGATAGATAATTTATGAAGTTCTATTGAATGAACGAATAAAGATATTTTCTGGAATTATTATTTCTTTACACTTGTATATCCCAAAACTTGGTAGCATCCTCACAGTTTATGAAAACTTACCATTAAAAAACTTAATAATATCGGTAAAATCCATTCCATTGGATAAAATAATATCTCTGTAGGTTTCCAGAAGAGCAAGAGCCAAAAACAGAACGAAATGGGTTGAGGCTACTTGTTGCGCTGCCCAGATCACCTCCCATGTTGCATTTACGTCAGGATACATCAGCTCTCTTTTGAAGTCCAACAAAAACCACCTAATTATAAAAACAATACAACAAATTAATGTTCATCTTTAATATTGCACAAAAAAATGTTTATAAAAATAATTATATTTAAAAATATTTCTAGTTTTTTTATGACATTTCTTGGAGTTTCTGAATTAGATGAACTTGTTTATAGTGTCGCCATCTATGTAGCAAACTCAAGGCCTAATTGAGTGAGATGGCATATACAATAAAAATTGTTATGTCGGTATATCTATCGATCTTACCTGTAGCAAAAATAAAAATGTGTATAGTCTCCATGAGCGTGCATCAGTTCGTACATCTCGGAGTCCAGAATTTGGATTAAAGATCGCATATTGGCAAAATGGCAGTCCATGGCATTTCCATTGGGAAAATTTTCGACCATTCTTTCCATTAAATGACAGAAACAAGCATAAGTGAGGGACTCGTCGTTGAAAATTACTAGAAGTGGTGCTACTAAATCACACATGCCTTGCATGTAGCCGATGTCGAGGTGTTCCCAGACATATCTAAAATAAAACAGTTTATATCAATATATACAGTTTTTATAGTTTATTTTTATGAACGAGAGAGTAATTAGCATAATTTTAACTGGTATCTCCGACCACTCCATGGGCGTGCTCAAGATTAATTGAAAAATTACTTTGAATAATTGTAAAAAATAAATGAATTATTTCAGTGTTATAAAGTGTTATGTGTATGTAAACAAAAGTGACCTCTTTTATCACACACTATATTAGAACTGACTGGCCTACATTAAAAAGGGTTTTAAATAATTCACATTTTTTTTAATTTTTAAAAATTACAAAAGAGAAAAAGAGTTTTTAAAACCGTCTAAGGTATGTTAAATAGATGAATAAAAATATTAATATAAAACTTACAGCTACTTGTTACAAATCCAAATCAGATTCAGAAGATGAACTTTCAGAACCAAGATTTATAATAACTGGCTCGATCATTTTATCAGTAATATTGTCCAGCTTACACATTTTTTTCTCTTCTTTAATTGTGTGATTTACTACCTTTTCCCAGTTTTCAGGTTTTACATTATTTACGGCCTCCAAAAACAACTGTTTAACATCATGAATTTTAAAAGTGGTATTTTTTCTTGAAACTTCACTCTTTATCTGTGCCCATACCAGTTCAATCGGGTTTAATTCACAATGATATGGTGGGGATCTAAGTACTGTCATTCCACGATTTTTGGCAATTTCATCAATTTCGTATTTTTTAAATTTTTCTTTATGAAGGGCACACAACGAATAAAGTTCCTTTCTTATAGATCCGGGATGGTACGTAATATTTTTTGAACTCAGCCAATTCTGCAAGTCTTTTTTTAACCACTTGGTTGTGGGCAGTCCTTCTATAAGTCTGGAGTGATAACTTGCATTATCCATTACTATTACACAGTTCTTAGGAAGAAGATCTATCATTTGTTCGAACCATTCTTGAAAGACATCAGCGTTCATGTCTTCATGGTAGTCACCGGTACGAGTTGATTCAAAAGTTAATAAACCACCTTCAACAAAACCGTGTGAACTGCCAATGTGTACTATTATCAGCCTGCGTCCCTTTCCTGATGGTGGGTTTAAACCAGTAGATAAGTTATTTACAAAAGCGTGCCTTTGACTTGTAACAGTTTCATCCTGCCAAAATTTATTTGGTGTATGACCCTCGTTGATCCATGTTTCATCAAGATAAAATATTTTTCTTTTTTGGTTTCTCATTTCCTTTATGGTTCTTAGAAAATGTCTTCTCCATATGACAATATCGCTTCTTTCTAATAAAATAGACTTTCTGAGATTCTTTTTCCAGCGGAAGCCTATTTCTTTTAAAAGTTTCCATAACGTACTTCGACTCATTTCTGGATAATCCTTATCATCTCGAACTGAGACAATAACTTTATCCAATGTTGGAAATTCTTGTCTAAAGAAGAATTCATGCACTTTCCGTCGAAGTCCTTCTTTAAAATGATATTCTATTTGAAATTTTGGTTTCCCTGAAGCATTACGTGGCATTTGAAAACTACCACATTTCTCTTCTTTAATAACTCTGTAAATCGTAGATTTCCCAACACCAAGTGTACTGCTAACTAACTCAACAGTCTCATCAACACTTTCACATAAACGTTTGTCTGTAAATGATTTAAAACAATTAAATATTAATGTTTTTTCATTAACTGTTAAAGGACCAATTTTTCGGCGTTTACACGGCACTTCCAAATTTTCCATAACACTAGTATACACAATAAACTGCAACTTGCAACTTAAGTACCTACTTTTAGTGAACTGTTAAGAATTTTGAATACGCCACTTGGACCTTCCTACAAAATGGAAAAACCCACTATCACATTTTCTGTGGAATAAGTTTAGAAGGTAATTATCTAGTCAATTACTGTTGTAGATAACTGGAATTAAAGAATTAAATGTTTGATTGTTGAAACCCTTACTTCGTGGAATGCACTCATTTCAGATAAAATAAAACGTTTTATTTTATCTAAAGAATTAAACTTTATTTTGCAAATAGGTAGGTACTTATTAAACTTTTATTGTTTATATATAACCAATAAAATAAACATCTTACATTTCTTGCAAATTCATTAGTACCTGTTAACCTCCAACACTCCGACACTATCAACCTTATTTAGGGATTAATAACCCTCACAACTATTGTATTCTATTCTGCTCCAACCTTTATACCTGGTGGTCATACTCAATTTAAAATTGTTTTCCTATATACTTCTGTAAACTTGTTGACAAATATCTGTTTTTCATTGAGTCACCCGTATCAACAGTTTAGGGATTTGTATACATAATTTATTGTTTTATTACTCTCTTATACATAAAAATACACTATAATACTATATTCACTGAACTGAGTACCAAGTGAGTAAACTTTGTTTTACGTTAAGAACAGAACGTCTGACTTATGCAGATCTGTGTTGCGAAAACTCTCATATACGTGTTGCTATTAGACTTCCGGTATACGAGTCATTTTAATCAGAGCCGTATTCAGCACTGTGTAGATGTACTAATAATACGGACAAGTATAGTTTCTTCTTCTTCTTAGAGTGCCGTCTCCCTACGGAGGTTGGCAATCATAATGGCTATTTTTATTTTAGAACTTGCTGCTCTAAACAAATCAATCGATCTGCATTGGTACCAATCACGTAGATTCTTTAACCATGAGTTCTGCCTTCGGCCAACAGATCTTCTTCCTTGAATCTTTCCCTGTATTATCAGTCTCAAAATTTCATATTTTGGTCCCCTCATCACGTGGCCTAGGTATTCCAGTTTTCTGGTTTGTATAGTGGTGATTAGTTCTGTTTCTTTACCAACCCTCTTTTCTTTATTTCTTCTTCTTCTTCTTCTTCTTCTTTCAAGTATAGTTTAATAATAGAATTTTACTACTACACTACTAAATTTTACTATTGTTTAACATTACATGTTTATTAACGCTTTAGATAATAACGATTTCTTTTGCCGGACTATCACTTACATACTTTTTGAATTTGGCACTTTGTGTTTGCACAAAACTGGTGATTTTCTCACTATCATATAATTTACTCACTGTATATTAACATCATCCTCATCTTCTCTATCATCGCCATTTATTGTTATCGTTATTATTGTCATCGCTATCACTGTCAACGCTTTCACTGTTACATTTACCACAGGATCAATATCATCCACCAACCCGTCAATACCCCAAAATTTTGCTCTTCCTTAATAGCAAGTTAACAATCATTTTTCCAATTGTCCACTGTTGCTAGACCAAATGCATTTCTGATTAATTGTTCCATTGCGGCGGTCTTAAACTATGTGCTGTGTGAGGCAATATGTCTTTTGAATTGACTTCATACCTTTTTCAGTTGGATTCAACTCATAAAGGTATGGAAGTAACCTCAGAATGGCAAAATTTTTCTCTTTACACATCTTGTCGATTTTATATTTTCTGTATTCTTCTTTGAATGTATTTACGACTTCCATAAGCTCTGATTTAATAATCTTTTTCAAAAAATATATCTGTCTCCGCTATCTCCGCTTGTGTCGGAATCATTTCTTCTCTCCTCGAATGGTACGATGCGTTGTCCATCACCACAAAAGTTTTCTCTGTAATATTAGGAAGCAGCTTTTCCTTAAACCATTGTTTAAAAAAAAATGGCAAAAAATAGACCAGTACACATGGCATTCATAGATTTAAAAAAGCATATGACACGGTTCCCAGAAAACAACTATGGAACACGATGACGGAAATCGGAATAACTCGCAAGAGGTTAATAGAAGCCGTAAAAACCTTTACAAGAACAACAAAGTAAGAGTTAAAACCGGCAATAAATACTCCAACGAATTTAAGACCACAAAAGGTTTATTGCAGGGATGCTCTACATCTCCGACACTGTTCAAGATATTCCTCGAACAAATATTAAAACCATGGAAAAGGAAATGTAAAGGGATGGGAATACCAATCCGGGACAACTTCTGTTACACATTAAGCTTTGTAGATGACCAAGTGGTAACGGCTCAAGATGAAGAAGATCTGTGCTATATGCTCCGAAAATTAGAAAAGGAATGCACAAAAAATGGACTGGAAATAAACCTAAAAAAGACCGAATATTTAACAACAGAGCAAGAACCAGTGAGAAACTTGGAAATGGACTATGATAGGGAAATTAACGGCACTGAAAAATTCAGATATTTAGTATTCATACTCTCAAAAAATGGAACCACCGAGCAAGAGATAACCAGTAGATTAGCACAGACAAGAACATGTATTAAACAAATGAATGGGGTACTGTGGGATAGACAGATTACCAAAAATACAAATAAGAGAATTTATAACACCTTGGTACGCAGTATAATGACCTATGGAGCAGAGAATTGGGTAATAAATAAACGAAACGGGTCCAAAATCACAGCAACTGAAATGGAGCTTATGAGAAGAAGCTGCAGAGCGACAAAAATAGATCGCATTAGAAATGAGGAGATAAAACGAAGAATGGCAGTAGAACAAGACATACTCAGCTGCATCGAAGAAAAACGTTTAATTTGGTATGAACATGTGAGAAGAACAGATCATACAAGGTGGATAGCAAAGATTTCGGATTGGAGCCCAATAGGAAGGAGGAAAAGAGGTAGACCCCGAAGATCATGGAAGGATGAAGTGAACGCGGCCATGGAAAGACGAGACCTTAGAGATGGAGAATGGCAGAACTGAAAGGGCTCGAGACGTTGGCTGAAATAAGGAGGCAGCGACAGCTGTAAAAATCCTTATATAGATAGATAGATTGTTTAAATATAGGACCATCTACCTCATCATGACAGTTCGCTGAGTTTTTGTAGCTAAAAACCAAAACGCACCACATTCCACAAGCTCAATTCACTACCAGCATGCACCATAAAAATCGGGGGCATCGTGTCAGCTGCTTTAGGCCTGTTGACAAACCCTTAATAAACGCATCCCTGACTAAAGTCACTGAGAAGTCTTTCCATTCTTTGAAAACACTACGTCCGACATTCACCCAAGTTTCATCCAAATAAACGACGGTGTATCTTTGGGAACGATCTTTTTATCTCATGCAAACACTGAGGCCTCCATTTCAGAATATCGGCCCATTCATCATAGTCGACTTTACTACTCGTTTGCAAAAAAAAACAAAGTTCATTTCATGGAGTATACTCCACATTGTTGTGTGTGACATGTTTGCTAAATCAGTGCAAAAAACTTTGTTCGATGTAGGTGGTAAATTTTTAAAGAAAAAACTAAGCACGATGGCACGGAGTGAAGTATAAACTATTGCGTCGTAAGTGAACTTTCTACTGTTCACTATACTTTTGGTAAGTTTTCTCGTTTTTTTTTGGGCCGTAGTCCTCCTTCCCCAGCTTCTTTGCGTATTTTAGAAATAGTACTAGAACCTACTCCTGTCATAGCACTTACTTTATTGATTAAACTTCTAACACTTTCACCACTCTTTAAATTTAGATGATAATTAAATACATTTAAAATAATTTGTTTTGCAGGGATATCCGATATTCCCTCGGTTTAATTTTTGAATTTCCATTTTCAAGAAACATTAAACTGTGAAGTCAGAATAACTACTAGTAATCGAAACAACAAAGCCTTGTTATCATTTTAGGGAAGAGGTACGAAGATAATTAGTTTTTGTTGTCAGTTACGATAGAAAACATTTATTCTAATTCATTTCTGTGGAAAAGAACATACAAATACAACCCTGAATCGTGCGTGTGCTTATGCTTGTAAGAATCAATTAAAACAAAGGTTTAAATGATTATTTTTAAAAAATATAGTCGTTTATAGATTATTATTCACAAATAGAAAGTCTTTAATTAAAATTAAAGAATTGTATTCTTCTATTATTCATGATTCTTCTGCTTTATTCAGTAAAAGAAGTATGCATAATTATTAACTCATAAGTTTATGTCCTTCTCCTAACTCACAGTTTCTCTCAGCTGGTTGTAGATTTTCTTGGAAATCTAACGTCCAATCCCAACAGCTCCGTTGATTTGGTCACCTCCCGTCGGATTTGTCGTTCCAACTACCTGCGACAGTGTCTGTACAGCAACTATAAGGCGAATATGAAAGCTAGGGCAAATGCTAATATCCGCAATACCTCTGGAATTGTTATGTTGTTATCTTTTTCGTTATTAGCTGTGGTGCCTCCGCTATTTCCCGCCTGGTTTATGAATATTTGTTCCTTCTTCTCCTTGTTCTAGTTATTTCCCATTCTTATTCTTCTCTTCGCAAGTTCTAAAGGGCACAAAGGGCTGGCAGGGTCGCCATGTCACGTTGGTCCTTAAGGGATAAAAAGGGTGAATTCTCGAACTCAAGAAAATCGCTAACTTTCCACTATATTTTATTTAGATTTATACACGTACATTGTTACAGGTCTAAGAGAAGTTTGTTACGTTATGTACACATCTTGATCAGTAAATATACAATAATAATCCAATCATAAATCTCTTTAACGTTGTATATATTCTCTCAGGGTTACCCTATCGAACTTTCAATCTACGTGATATAAGGCAAGGCTGTGTATAAAAAGTGTATGTAATCCAAACTTATAGTGTATTTTTATGTACGAGAGAGTAATAAAACAATAAATTATGTATGCAAATCCCTAAACTGTTGATACGGGTGACTCAATGAAAAACAGATATTTGTCAACAAGTTTACAGAAGTATATAGGAAAACAATTTTAAATTGAGTATGACCACCAGGTATAAAGGTTGGAGCAGAATAGAATACAATAGTTGTGAGGGTTACTAATCCCTAACTAAGGTTGCCAGTGTCGGAGTGATGGAGGTTAACAGGTATTAATGAATTTGCAAGAAATGTAAGATGTTTATTTTATTGGTTATATATAACCAATAAAAGTTTAATAAGTACCTACCTATTTGCAAAATAAAGTTTAATTCTTTAGATAAAATAAAACGTTTTATTTTATCTGAAATGAGTGCATTCCACGAAGTAAGGGTTTCAACAATCAAACATTTAATTCTTTCATTCCAGGAATCTACGACAGTAATTGACTAGATAATTACCTTCTAAACTTATTCCACAGAAAATGTGATAGTGGGTTTTTCCATTTTGTAGGAAGGTCCAAGTGGCGTATTCAAAATTCTTAACAGTTCACTAAAAGTAGGTACTTCAGTTGCAAGGTGCAGTTTATTGTGTATACTAGTGTTATGGAAAATTTGGAAGTGCCGTGTAAACGCCGAAAAATTGGTCCTTTAACAGTTAATGAAAAAACATTAATATTTAATTGTTTTAAATCATTTACAGACAAACGTTTATGTGAAAGTGTTGATGAGACCGTTGAGTTAGTTAGCAGTACACTTTGTGTTGGGAAATCTACGATTTACAGAGTTATTAAAGAAGAGAAATATGGTAGTTTTCAAATGCCACGTAATGCTCCAGGGAAACCAAAATTTCAAATAGAATATCATTTTAAAGAAGGACTTCGACGGAAAGTGCATGAATTCTTTTTTAGACAAGAATTTCCAACATTGGATAAAGTTCTTGTCTCAGTTCGAGATGATAAGGATTACCCAGAAATGAGTCGAAGTACGTTATGGAAACTTTTAAAAGAAATAGGCTTTCGCTGGAAAAAGAATCCCAGAAAGTCTATTTTATTAGAAAGAAGCGATATTGTCATATGGAGAAGACATTTTCTAAGAACCATAAAGGAAATGAGAAACCAAAAAAGAAAAATATTTTATCTTGATGAAACATGGATCAACGAGGGTCATACACCAAATAAATTTTGGCAGGATGAAACTGTTACAAGTCGAAGGCACGCTTTTGTAAATAACTTATCTACTGGTTTAAACCCACCATCAGGAAAGGGACGCAGGCTGATAATAGTACACATTGGCAGTTCAGACGGTTTTGTTGAAGGTGGTTTATTAACTTTTGAATCAACTCGTACCGGTGACTACCATGAAGATATGAACGCTGATGTCTTTCAAGAATGGTTCGAACAAATGATAGATCTTCTTCCTAAGAACTGTGTAATAGTAATGGATAATGCAAGTTATCACTCCATACTTATAGAAGGACTGCCCACAACCAAGTGGTTAAAAAAATACTTGCAGAATTGGCTGAGTTTAAAAAATATTACGTATCATCCCGGATCTATAAGAAAGGAACTTTATTCGTTGTGTGCCCTTCATAAAGAAAAATTAAAAAAATACGAAATTGATGAAATTGCCAAAAATCGTGGAATGACAGTACTTAGATCCCCACCATATCATTGTGAATTAAACCCGATTGAACTGGTATGGGGACAGATAAAGAGTGAAGTTTCAAGAAAAAATACCTCTCTTAAAATTCATGATGATAAACAGTTGTTTTTGGAGGCCGTAAATAATGTAAAACCTGAAAACTGGGAAAAGGCAGTAAATTACACTATTAAAGAAGAGGAAAAAATGTGGAAGCTGGACAATATTACTGATAAAATGATCGAGCCAGTTATTATAAATCTTGGTTCTGAAAGTTCATCTTCTGAATCTGATTTGGATTTGTAACAAGTAGCTGTAAGTTTTATATTAATATTTTTATTCATCTATTTAACATACCTTAGACGGTTTTAAAAACTCTTTTTCTCTTTTGTAATTTTTAAAAATTAAAAAAAATGTGAATTTATTCAAATTCAATTATTCAAAGTAATTTTTCAATTAATCTTGAGCACGCCCATGGAGTGGTCGAAGGTACCAGTTAAAATTATGCTAATTATTCTCTCGTTCATAAAAATAAACTATAACAGCTCCTGTCATGGCCCACTTTTGACAACATAAATAATTTAAGATATTCTATATAAAATTACACTTATAGGTTTATAACCTTACTGTACAGAGGAAAATAAATCTTTAATTTTTACGAAAACAAATAGTACTCACGTGCACATGACATTTCTTAGTTTATCTAAGTTTTCTTTCTCCATAAAGTACCAATAGTTGCGATCACACCTTTGTACATCCTTTTCTATTCGATGTAGATTTAGGCCAAAAGTTTCAAGAAGTTCTTGCTAAAATAGAAAAAGTTATCATAAACTTATATACTTCTGTATACCCGTAGTTTTAACTTTACTAAGAGATTGATGATCAAATCTTACTAAGAGTAGTATCAGTTTTTTTAGGAACCAGTTGTATTATACATGTAGGGGAAGGGCGGGCAAGATGGCATACTTAGTTTATTGTTCATATATCTGAGACATAAATAGAGATAAATCATTCCTTTTAATGTATAATGATAGCCAGGTCATTTTTCTACTATTCTAAGTAACAAAAAATCACTCACACAAAGAGATTTATTTAAAAAAAAATCAAAATCAAAATGTAACAAAAAACCATTTTGCCCGCCCAGTGCGGGCAAAATGGCATACACATAAACAATAGTGTTAAATACAAAAATAATTATAAATTTTTTTTACGAAGCAAAAAAATTAAAATTAAACATTTTAGTTCATACAAAGTTCGCAAATAAATTGTTTTGCTTTTGTGGGAAGTCCAGCACATTCTGAATGTGACCAGTTTTGGCAAATATGGCATCTTAACCATCCTTTATTAGATTTGGACCTACTAAACGTATCATTGCAGTAAATGCAAGCGCAATCCTCTTGTTCATCATCATCAATACTAAAGGGTTCTTCTTCATCACTTGATATATTGTTTAGTATTGGTCTGGTCACAATATTTCTCTTGCCTTTTCTCTCCAACTGATGTCTATCTTTGTTCACAATGCGTCTTCCATCACTTAAATCATTGACTATTTTTCTTTTCACGACGTCCCCTTTTCTGCTTTTTATTTCTTGTGCTTTTTTTTTTCATTTTCTTTTTCGCAGAGATATTTCAGGAAGGGACTCTCGGTTAATACATCTTGGTATTGACCAGATTTACGTTTGGTAGATTTTCTTAGAGGAACATTAACATCAGCAGGTAAAGATGTAGAAGCAATGTCAGATTTATTAGTAGAACCAGGCACATCCTCAGGCACATCTGTACCATTTATTGTGATTTCAATATTTGCTGTTTTCTCATATGCGTTCTGGAAGCGACTGGACACTTGATATATGGTTATTGCACGACCAGGATTTTCTCTAAGCCAATGAGTAACAGCTTGATTTTAATATTTATCGAGTGGTCCGAAAAAGGCAACATCCAATGGCTTAAGGCGGTGCGTGCAGTGTGTCGGCAGGCAAAGTAATACCACTGAATTCTGTTTAGCTAATTCTAAAGCTTCGTAGCTTTTATAACTGGAGTGTCCGTCTAAAATTAATAATGCTTTCTGCGCAGGTTTCGGCCTGATATGGTCAATAAAATGTTGCATCCACCTTATGAACAAATCTCCGGTCATGTATCCTGATTCATTATGCAATTTTAATATTCCTATAGGTGCGCCGTCATATAAAAGTGGGTTAAATCTTTTTCGGGGGAAAATTATTGATGGTGGTACATAAGTTCCTCCAGAACTTATGCACACTACAACTGTTGTGTGTACACCCCTTTCTGCGCTCGTGATAGAGCCCACTTGTTTTTTTCCTTTCTGAGCAAAGACTTTTGGCGGAACTTGGACGGTGGTCAAGGCTGATTCGTCCATGTTGAATATCATGGTATTTTGAACGAGATTCAAGATACAGAATGTGGGCAACTATTGCAGTCTGCATATCTTCGTTTAAAACTGTTGCCAGGGAGCCCAAATGTTTTTTTGCTTCAATGGCAATTTTATTTTTATTATCTGCTCGACGTCATAGTGTTGAGAACGGTACATGAAATGTATTGCTTGCTTTAAGTCAACCCATTTCGGAATTTCGGACTGTCTTCAAAGCTCTTTGCATGTCTTCCTCACTCCAACTATTTTGGTTAGACTTCCTTTTGTATGAATAAACCATCTGCAAAAAAAACTATATATGTACCTTAACCTGAAAAACAGACGGGCAAAATGGCATAGTATGTTATTTTGCCCGCCATAATGCTATGCCATTTTGCCCGTTTTGTATTTGCCGACTAATGATAGTTGAAAAAAATTAATAATGGAAATAAACACAATTTTTATTTAAGGTCACATGCAGCGTATAAAACATAATTACCAAAAAGTAAATTCAAAAAGCTCTATAACCTTAATTTAATAAATTATTGAATAAAACTTACATTGAGGCATCGAACTGGACCAGCACTTATTCACAAATACACCAATCTCGTGGCCGGCCATTAAATTAGGTGCACGAGACTTAATGTGGACAGTGTTGCCACTGTTTATAATAAGTATCCAGAATTGCGGTGACCTAGAAACGTTAGGTTGACTACGAGAACAAAAAACCATTTTGCCCGCCTATGCCATTTTACCCGCCCTTCCCCTATATTACAATGGGCATTGTTTTTAAATCTAACAAATTATATTTTTACGGTGCATTAACTTGCCAAATATTCTATGTGAGTCCTTACCTATACCTATATACCAGATAAATAGAGATACACTTACACTATATACACCCCCGTTAGAACTAGCGGGGGAAACACAGCAGGATCGAGCCGGAGACGCTAAACCATGTGTTTCTATACACGTATCCAAAGAGGAATTGTTTTCTTCAGTTACGGCATCCAAATTGCTCATCCGTGGGCTCTCGTTACCTAGTAAAAAGTAAATATCAATATTTTATTTCGGTAGGAAACAAGGAGGAAAATATTGTATGGAAGAAGAGAATTATATTTGAAAAACCATTTCGTAACAATTATTAAAAATAAAGTTAGGTTATGATCTGATACGGAAGTTTAGTTTAGTTTAGAATATAATAATTAAGATCTATAGGTAAGAAAAAACATAAAAAAGTAGATATCAAATTGCAAAAGTCAGTTTAGAAGAGATAGAAACATCAACAAAATCAATCTCACCTCGCTGTATTTATAATGCTAAGTTTGAGAAAAATAAAAGAAGAGAAGTGAAAGATTTTTACTTTAAACTAAATATATCTGGTTAGTATGCAAAAGAGCTTAAAACGTTGAGTTTATAGGTATTATAAAAGTACTTAAAGCTGCTAAATACAGATACAGAGACAAAAAAACGAGAAAAAAAGTATTCAGGACCACATATGGTGAAGGAACGAACAAGGTCTGTGGCGAAGGCGATATAATTTCGAACTCTATAGATTTTTTGTTGATGTAGCTATCGTGCAAACCATTAAAATAACCCTCCTAAGATAGGTGGGTCACGTTATGCGGATAGATGAAAGTGATCCTTTTAAAATAACCATACCAAATAGGCCAGTTGAAAGAAGAAGAAGAGGGCGACCTAAACTCAGGTATCTGGACGATGTTCAGGACAATTTAAGGGAGATTGGAGTAAACGAATGGAGAAGACAGACACTCTACAAGGAAGGATAGAAGAATGTTTTGAGGCAGGCCAAAGTTCACGAAGGACTGTAGTGCCAACTGATGATGATAAAAAACGATGATATATCTTAATAATCATTTTAGAGAGTGCTAAAATTGTGATTAATGTTCTAGGAATTGCGGAAAAAGTATAGGAATATCGAAGATAAGGCAAATCAGTAAGAAAGTGTTTCAAAAGATAACAATAGAGGCCAGAGTGTAGAGATGGAAAAGAATAGAAATTAAGTTAGACCCAAAATCAAAAAAGATCTAAGTGTCTTATTATAGCGAAACTAAAACAACGAACAATTTGGAGTAAACAATAATGGAAATAAAAAGTTTTTACTAAAATACAAGTCTAATAGGATCTTGCAATGTTGTAAATACTTTTGGATCTTGGAATGTGGGAGATTGAGTACCTAAGAGTTACGCAAACTAATAAAACAGAAAAAAAATGAATTTGAAAAAGGAAAACAATTGAAACCCAACATAATAGTGAAAGCAAAAATACATCTTAAGGCATCAAAAATAATCCAATTCACAGCCCTTTATGGCATCAAAACCTAAAGATAAACAAAGACTAAGAAAATACGTTGAATATCTGAATGGGGAGTGAGGTAAGGAAAATCTTCAGAGAAGTTTGAATAAGACATATTGATTGGACGAGGTGAACAAATATAGAAATTGAGCAGCTGTATGGGAAAACCAGAAAATACCCAGATCGTTAGATTTAGAATACTGAGTACGTTGGATTACTTGATAAAATTGGAAGAATGGAAATGCTGAGATGAGAAGCGTAGAAAAAAGAGGACGGAAATGACAGAAGTAAATGTGAATTTTACGACAAATGAAGATAAGAAACTAGGTAATAAAACCATAAACAAAAAAAATGGAAAATGTGTAGCTAAATTTCAATTCATTGGATTCTAATACAGTAATATTTTAAATGGATGTATAAAAATGTCATTAATTACCTAAATTACATATATCAACACTCGCATTTATCACAATCACATTATGTATAAAGTCTTTTAATTCTTCGTTAACATTTACAATAGATTGTTGTTCACTTTCTTTAGAATCTTCAGTATCTGCTTCAACTTCATCTTGTACTATTACGATATCTTCTTTATCTAAAAAAATTAAATACTTAAATACTCACTGATATAGAAAACGTTTCTTTTAAAACTATTAACAAAATTGTAAAAAAATGTGAATATTTTATAATCGATGATGAAAATGGAAAAGACTGAACCGACGTGTTGACAGCTGAAAGCCGCAATGTTAACAGCTGACAGCCGACATGTTGACAGTTGACAGCCTTCATATAAGAACGATCATGTGACGTTAGTGGGCGTGACTTAAGGGGCGTAGCCAATGGGCCAATAGGTGTGCGGCGGACATCTTGGCAGAAGGCGTAACTTACAATTCACCTGTACAAAAAAGATCAAAAATATGGCGCTTCTTTTAAGACCAGCAAAATTTTTCAGTAAGCAACCTCACCAAACTCTCCCGGATATATATTATAGTGATAAATGTCAGAGGAAAGGCATTACTTGGGAGCAGGTGAAGGTTTTTTCAATGGTCATCATCACAGTCATTAACATCTTAGTAGATGTGTTGTGGTTCATAATTGGGCTTCAGCAGCTCGGACAGTTTGATTGATAATATTTCTCCACTGGTCGCGGTCATCAGTTATATGTATTGCTTCAGTATACTGTTTATTGAGAAGCTTTTTAGTAATGTCCGCCCATCGCTTTGGAGATCTTCCGCGTTGGCGTTGAGTCTGAGGCCTTCCTTGGACCACCAACCGCTCCATTTTGTGATCACTTCGATGGATATGGCCAAAGAACTTTAAAATTCTAGAGTAAACGGTACTGGAGAGACGTTGATCCGGTTTAATTTCATCCAGAACCGAGATATTTGTACGGCGAGCCGTCCATGGAATTCGAAGCAGGCGTCTCCATGTCCACATTTCAAAGGCGTCTATACGTCGTCGATCTGATTCTTTGACTGTCCATGTCTCGCATGCATAGTAAAATATGGAAAAGACCAGAGTTGAAACGAGTCTCTTTTTGTTTGTCATAGTAATGTGACGATCACGCCAGACCCCGTTTAGTTCACTCATTGCTGCTCTTGCTAGTTGAATGCGTCTTCTAATTTCGGACTCACAACTGCCTGTGTTGTTAACTAGAGCTCCAAGATATACCATAGATGAGACTACCTCGCATCCCGCAATAGTTTGGGTTTCAGGAAACTGTTGATCAATAACCATGATTTTGGTTTTGTTGTAGTTAACCATGAGTCCAAATTTAGCACTTTCTACCTCGAGTTTTTTCAATGGTAGGTACATCTTTATTTAACGAAATCTAGGAATATTCTGATGTTAAAGTGGGTTATTCAATCACCGCATTGGTCGCTCAGTGGAAGCATGGTTTTAAATATGGTGACATTTTATATTTAGAAATGAAAAACAATAAGTAGAAATTTGAATAATGCACAATTTTGATAGAAATGGATGAAAAAGTAGAAGCAGAAAATGATATTGCTGTGTTACTATATATTAGTGTTGGGTGTATCGCATAAAATAACGGGATTTACGATGAGTCACGAAGGCTATGATATGGTTAATTTGAAATATTACTGTGTTTTGATGTGTAATAAAATATTTGTCCGTCAAATACGATCTCAGTATAGAGAAGTGGTTACTCATTTTCTCGAAGATTTGTCTGATGTTCAGGAATATCACAGAATAATACAACTTGGTTTCTAACTGGTTATTTATTTATTTACCGAATACTATATATTACTACTTTTATATACCCTATTACCTTTACTAAATAATAATATTTTTAAAACCACAATATATGAAGACTCACCTACATTGCTGCCATATGTACTAATTTTATTTTCGCTACTTAAGGCTTCATCATTTTGTACGTTTGTGTTATCTGCAGGGGTAGGATTAACTTCTTTAGCGTCTACTTCCTTGTTTTCCTCCTTAACTTCCTTACCTCCTCCAGAATCTTCTTCGTCACTCATATACTTGATGGTATTCTGTTTCGTATGTTTATGTTTCTTCTTGCCACCTTCTTTGTCTTCTTCTAGAGATTCATCTTCGTCATCGGTAATTACGTCATCTTCAAAAACCTATAAAAAAACGTAAATTTTGGTAAAAATTTTAAACTTGCACCTCAACCTTAACAGTAAGCAAAAGAAAAGAAGAAAAGACTTAAGAAGCAGTATATATTTTTGTTTGCTAGTTTAAATGTCAAACATAATCTAAATTTTGTATTTGCCCACTTATAAACTACTTACTTCATTGCAAAGTTCTTCTTGCGTTTGAGCTGGTACTTGTTCTCCTGACATACTTTCGCTGCTCAGTTTCGCTATAGCATGTGCCTGGTTTTCCTTGTCTCTTTGCTTTACTATTGCTTCCACTGCCAACCATTCTGACATTGTGTTTTCGTATCTAAAACAAACGTACATTAGACAAACATGTAGATATCTATGACATTGATTTAAAGCACATATAAAAGTGGTTATCAATTTTTTCAATCCTTGGAGGAAACCTTTAAGAAACTCATTTTCTCATTAGCACTCATGAATGAATGCTAAAAGCACTGCGTAGAGACCAGTGGTATACATAGGCAGGGAACTATATCCAAAAATAGTTTAAAAAAGGCATGAGATATAGATAGATTACAAATTTAAATTTTTACTTACGCTTGTCTAGTTTCTTCACTAAGTTCTTTCCTTTGCTCCGAAGTACTTCCAAATTTATAGTGTCCTAGTAAATACGGCCATATTTCGTGCCTAAGATCTTGCGCAATGCCACCAAAATACGTCAGTCGATACACCTCGGCATAATCGGAAACTACACCGTCTAGACATAGTTCAGCCCATTTCTCTATTGTTATTCCTTCGCTTGCTCCATCTCCGTTGATTATTTTGGTATGAACTAATCCACTTAAATGAGTTCTAACTGTAGAGAGGTGTCGGCAGTATGCCAACCAACCATAGAATGCCCTAAAAAATATGATTTTAGATTATCGCGAGCATTGTTTGATTTATCGATAGGGACTTCATGTAATGTTTTATAACCCTTTCGAGTCTGATGGGACGTATGTATCCCAGTCATGAAATTATCAAGTCTGTTGGACTAAATTTGAACTATTTTACATGAATTTTTATCGCAACCGACTTTTTAACAACTTTATAACAATTTTAAAAGAATAATTTGTGTAAGCGGCAACATTGCGAACCGTTTTTGCGCTATATTTTCCCATGATGTTGATCTGTGGAAGCTTTCCCAGAAGCTTCATTCAACATATTGCATATTGTACGAAATTACGTTTAGATAAATTTGAAAACAACATCAAGAAAAAAGAATTTCTACCGATGAACATGAAATTATGATTGTATTTAGTGTCACACTAATCACGGCATACAATCGAGTTCCATATTTCAATGATTATTGGTCACAAAATGACTCTTTAGAAAATTTAGCAATAAAAATGACAATTTCTCAAGGTCGCTGTAAGCTGATCCTTGCCAAAAATATTCTTGCCGCTGATATTGTAAAGCCTGACAATGCGAGAAATCACATTACATCGAGGATATCGCTAATTGTCTAAAACTAACATTTCCAAAATATTGAACAGAGGCGGCTTTTCAAAGCATTGATGAGTCAATGGCGAAATTTAAAGAAAGGTCTTTCCTAAAACAGTTCCTACCCACGAACCCATCAAACGGGATAAAGATATGGGTACGGAGCGTCTCTGCAACAGGATTACTATTTTACGATTTTAATATATACGTGGGAAGGGAAACAGGAAGTAATACTAGTTTATTATTGTAAGAAAGAGTAGTGACCAAATTAGTTAGTACTAAAGGAAATTGATGTATTATTGTGTTTTGCCTAAATGTGCCTAAATTTGTTGGAAACTTGAATCGTGATGACTCAGAATTCAGAGTAAATATCCACGGCACCATAGTTTGCAGATGGCAAGATACTAAAGACTTGTTAGCAGTAAGCAATCGATTTGGAGATAAGCAAGTAGAAGTAAAACCGAAAATAAAGAATGACTCTAAAATGAATGTGCGATCTCCTGAACTTCTCGACATGTACAATAAGAAAATGGGCAGCGTGGGCCTAACAGATCATATTTTGGAAAGAAAAAATATAAAGGAAAGAAAAAACATCATTTTTGCCTTTTTTAATTAGTGTAGCTGAGTGCACTATTTGATTGGGAAAAAGCCATGCTGCCTTTAAAAGAAAAACCTCGACTTTACTTGGACGTCGTCTAGCAAAGAAACAAAAAAATATTAAACGTGGAGGTCATTTACCTATGGAAGGAAAGACTCGTAGAACATGCCAACGATGTTCTTCTCAGAAAATAGAAAAAACGAACCACTATACTATGTCAGAGCTGCAATGTACCCTTATGTAAAACATGTTTCACACTTTTTTATTTACATTAAATATTGATCTTAGTTTTAGTTCTTTTGTTTTTAAAGTTTGATTAAAATTTAATTTGTATTTTACTCTCTACTAAAATAAAGTATTAATTTGAAGAATGATGGATTATTATAAACCCACAGATATGTTCGAAAAAAGTCTGACTGGGACATATAGGTCACGGACAAAATGGCGGATCTCAAGAAAAAGATTAATCTCAATCACTTTTATTTTTGCTTAAATATACGTTTTAAACAAAAAAAAAGTTCTAAATTCCATACCGATCCTGAAAAAAAAATCTGACTTGAAAGAGATAAATGGAGCTTGTAAGTCATTCCTTAAAGACCAGAGGTAGGGTTTTTTCGTGGTCGATCGAAGTCCACGGAGTTTCAGAGTGTATTCTTATGTATTTTTATCATCATCAGTGGCCTTACAGCTCGTCATGAGCCAAAGTCTTCTTCAAAACAATCTTCCATTCGCCCCTGTCTCTGGCAACTCTTCTCCATGCTTTAACTCCAATGGATTTTAGATCATCCTCTACGTTATCTTGATACCTAAGTTTTGGTCTTCCTTTGGATCGTCTTCCCACGGGTCCTCTTCGGTTGAAAATTTTTCTGATCGTTGCATCTTCATCTCTCCTAATTACATGTACTATCCATCGAAGGCGTGCCAATTTAATACATTTTACAACGCCAGGTTCCTCAAAACTTGTATAACTCAAAGTTTTAGCGCCTACGCCACAAACCCTGTTCTTGGACTCCTCCATAAATTTTCCTTAGAATTTTTCTCTTGAAACGTTTAAGTAGTTCTTGGTCGTTCTGTGTAAGTGACCACGTTTCTGACCCGTATGTTAACAATGGCCTTATTAGTGTTTTATATATGTCAATTTTAATTTTTTTGGGTAGTTTTGGGGCCATCTGTTTTCTCAAGCCATAATAGCACTTATTGGCAAGCACTATTCTTCTTTTAATTTCTTCGCTGACATTGTTGTCTTTGGTCAGCAGCGAGTTCAGGTAGACGAAGGTGTCCACACCTTCCAGTTCCAGACCATCAATTAATAGTCTAAGTATTTGGTTGCCTGATCTAGTACAATACATATACTTGGTTTTCTGTGCGTTTATTTTTCATGGATTTTTATCCGCTAAATTCAAATTTCAAACTTGCTTTTGCGTCGGAAGTGACGGTAATTTGTTATAAGTAATTTAATTGTTTAAATGATTATAATTCGTAAAGTAAAAAAAAACATTTTTACAAAATACAATTAATTCCTTTAAAAAAATATTCAAAAATGAAATTTGATAAATCTTAATTCAATAATTAAAACCGGAGATATTGCAAAAATTAGTGCAAAATATGCAAAATTGCGACATTTAGGCGATTTTTTACATGTTACCTGCTTGCATGTTGAATAAAATAACTTTATATTAGCCCAAATGAAAAGAAAAACTACCAGCTTTAAAAATAAACCTTAATTATAATGGAAATGTTATTTGTAAGAAATTTATATCAATTTTAAACGGACATTTTTTAATAAAAATAGCGTATAATTAGTTTATAAGGTTTTTTAGGCACTAAAACTTTAGATTATAGCTAAGCAAGATACACAGTCATATTGTACAATCCAAGACAAAGAATTGTATGTGTTATAAGTATTTCTAAGTATCTTTTTTAATGACATAAAGCAGTTTTAAAGTGCGCGCGCCATTATGCTGCGAACGCCTTCTTCTTTTAGTTCCTTCTCCTATCGGAGGTTGGCTATCATCACAGCTATTTGGCGGCTGCTCTGAAAAGATCTACTAGGCTGCAACTATACCACTCTCTTAGATTTCTTAGCCAGGAAATTCTTCGTCTTCCTATGGATCTTTTACACATGATTTTACCTTGCATTATGAGCCTTAATATATAATATTTCGCACCTCTGGTAATGTGGCCTAAATATTCGAGCTTTCTTGTTTTGATGTGCTTTGTGACCTCGCAATCCTTTTGTAGCCTTCTTAACAGTTCTGCTTTTGTAATTAGTTGGGTCCATTCAAAATCCTTCTATAGCACCACATCTCAAATGATTTTAACTTATTTATATTATCCACTTTTAGTGTCTAAATTTTCATTCCATACAACAAAGTCGAAAACAAATAGCACCTTAAGGCTCTTATCCACAGCTCCAGAGGAAGGTCTCGATTAACAAACATTGTTTTCATTTTTATAAATGCTTTTCTTGCAATTTCAAAGCGTGTCCTTATTTCTCTACCTTGGTCATTGTTTTCATTTACCCAGGTTTCCAGATATTTGTAGCTATTTACTGTTTCTACTTGTTTTCCCTCGATATCTCGCCTTCCTACTATATGTTGCTTAGAAATAATCATGCACTTGGTTTTCTTAGCGTCTCACCCTGTCTCACCCCCTTTTGATTTCTATAGTTTCTGTTTCTACATTTTCGATTCTAACCTTTGCTTTTTTATTCCAGTACAGAGTGACAGTAACCCATATATCACGACTATCCACATTCTTTTCTTCATCAATAGAACAATGTTCTATCTCCTCTTCATCCTTATCCGCTATTGATGCGTATACTTAAATTTAGTTAACTTGTATATTTGTCCTCAGCTGAACCATTATCACTCTCTCTAAGTAAAGAGTGAAGCTTATAACTGATTTATTAGTTTCTGTGTCTAACAAGATTGCAACTCCATAGCGATGAGCCGGATCGTCGTTTTCAGCATAACACATCATTCCGTTTTGATTATAAGTTTGCCGGTGTCTGGCCATTGTACGTCACTTATGCCCTGTAAAATAGAACGCCTAGAACCGGATAACTATTTACGCGCAAGAGTTATGCGCGAAGCGGAATAAAATAATTTTACGCGCGAAGCAGATGCTACGGTTCAAGCCGCGGAGGTCAAATGTCAAAATGTACTCAAGTGGCTACCTTTCTACTTATTATATATTGTCAAGAACGTAAATTTAGAAAATAGTTTTTATGTGTTTAATGAAAGTATGGAAAATAACATAACTAATTTGAATTTGTGTATAATTTGTCAAAAACATAAATTTAACCCACCTACTTATCAATAAGTATTCATTTTCTACATAAAAAATACTTAAAATCAGTGCTTACTTCTCCAGTACCAAAATGACTATTGGTCTCTGATAATTATGTATTGAATAATTCATCATTGCTTATAGTATAATTGAAAAAAAAAGTGGTTACAATACGTACATAAAATACGCGAAGCTTTACACTATGTTTTATATATTTTTAAAATTTAAATATTTTTAAAATTAAATAAAGAAATTTTATTATTTATTTATTATTTATATTTTAAACAAATTATATTATATTCAAATAATTCAGTGAATAATTATATTTGCTCCTAACGCCACCTGTTGACGTATTAACAAAGCATATGTTTTTTACTTCTGACAGACCTGTCAAATTCAAACGAAATATTAAGTAAGAATAAAATAGAAATAACTAGAATTTGATAGTAAACTTAGTTATTATATAAACTAAATAATATGTTTAAAAATAATAATTGTATTTATATGAAATTATTTTAAAACTAGAAGTGGCATCTTGTGGCGTTAGTTCCGTGATGACACCATCTTGTGGCGCTAGTTCCGTGACGCTCGCCTCAGCATTTTACTATAGACAAAAAAGTAATACAACGCCAGTACAGACGCTTCAAAAATGCTCACCTGGATATAATTTGTCTTTTCATAGAATCACAGACAGCTTGTATACAGACACTGGGAGGACTATCGGGTATATTTTGGTCTATGCTGAAGCTTTTGGAGGAACTTTCTGAACTAGTACTAGTGCTACCTAATTGAACCCTAACTTTAGTTGGTAATGAGGCGTGTGTATCCATGAGCTGATTTCTTTTCACTAGAAAAAAGATGACATTTTATATAAAAATGTTACAACTCTATTAGATTTAATTAATGATTTTAATTTTGATAGAAAAATTAACAACATTAATTAATAAAATTATAAAACATAATCAAATACCGGAAAAATGGAGAACGAGCGAACTAACTCCACTATTCAAAAAAGGAGGTAAAAACAGCCAGAAAACTACAGAGGTATCCTACAGAACTTGTTAAATACTACGCTAAAACTTACATCAAAATTTTACAAGTTCTAATGAATCAGAGAATAAGTTTAGCAGATGAACAACAGTGTTTTCCTAGTGGAAGATCGTGTACAGATGCAATATTCGTTATAACACAAATTACCGAGAAATCATTAGAGTATAACAGACCAGCATTTTTGTGTCTGGTTGACCTAAATAAAGCGTTTGACAGAGTAAGACTCAAAGACGTAATCCATCTTCTGTATAATAGAGAAGTTCTCCTAAATATTATAAAAACTATCGAAAACATGTATCAAAACAACAAAGTTGAAGTCAGAATAGATGGAAAACTTACAGAATATATATGAAAAGGCAGCGGAATAAGACAAGGGGATTCATTGAGCCCCGTGCTCTTGAATTTGATTATGGATGAAATCATCATAAGCGTTAACAAAGGAACAGGATACATAAAGGGAAACAAAGAAATAAAAATACTCTGTTACGCAGACGAAGCAATATTGATAGCCTAAAATGAAGTTAGTCTGCAAAGACTGGTTTACAGATTTAACATAAGAGCAAAAGAATTTAATATGACCATATCATCTCAGAAAACAATAGTAGTCAGAAAAGAACCAACCAGATGTAAAATAGAAAGGAGTGGTATCAGTATTCAAACTGGCAACGGTTGGCAATGGATAGGACTGCCTGGCGTAATAGACTTGGGAAGGTCGAGGCTCTTTCATAGGGCTGTAGCACCATTGATGATGGTGGTATCAGTATTGAACAAGTAATGGAAATAAAATACCTGGAAATTACACTGTCTAGCTGTGGAGACTTGGACAAAAAAGTAAGAGATCAAGTACAAAAAGCAAATAGACTATCAGGATGCCTTAAAAACACTATATGGCGAAACCGACACATTAACACTGAGATGAAGTAAAGAATTTATAAAGCCAGTGAAAAGAACAATAATGACACATGCTTCAGAAACAAACCCGACACAATCACAGCAAAGGCCACTGGAATGTGCAGAGAGGAGAGTACTGAGAAGAATCACAGGAAATCCGCTGAGAGATCGAAAGAGAAGTAAAGACATTAGAAGGAAATGTAACGTATAGTGTATAAATGAACGGACACAAAATAGAAAAAAAGAATGGAATAACCACATAAGCGTAATGGAGGAGACTCGTATCGTCAAAATAGCAAGAGGTAAGTCACCAATCGGCAGAAGCAGTATTGGACGACCGTGCAAAAGATGGAGTGATAACCTTCCATACATGTATTAATCCGCCAATGAACAAGCAGAATTACTTATAAAAAAGAAAGAATCTTTATCTTTATCTTTCAATTCGTGTTTTAAAGGAAATAAAGAATTGTAAACAAGTTACATGCGATGTTATATTTAGGATCTTTTTTATGACTAGCCATCCAAAAGAAGGAAGGTACATTTCAAAGCCTGCTATAATTACGATTATTTTTGATGACCCCGTATTCTTTTTGTCACCTGACTTATCCAACATTTATGGTGAACATGTCATGAAAGTGGTAGGAAAATCTCCAATTTAAGATTTTCTGAAGACTCTACATTTATAGCAGCAAAGGAGAAATAAATATTTAATCTCTTGCTAAGACTTGAGTACGATAGCAATAAAGTTGGTCTGAAAATCAATAAAGCTAAGACAAAAATAATAGTGGTCGACACATTCCACACTATTTAACTGACTAACCTGTTACAGAAATACCAGATAGTGGACAGTTTTATCTATCTCGAGTCTACTATAACCATCGAGTAAAAAGACAAAAGAGGAAATATAATCGTTGTGAAAAGAAGACCAAAATTCATAAAAGTGGGCTCTTAATATGGCGGACATATCCGGAAATGCAAAGGCGCCAAATTGAAATTTTACGACACTTCACAATACTCATACAGTGGTGTAGGGGTTCTAATTTATCTAATGGAATTAGTACAAAGTTTGAAAATTTAAATATAATGGTTGTTTTAATTAGGGCTATAAAACAGTGGCTATAAAATATTTTTCAGAGTATGTCTTAGACCAGAATGTTTTAATTAAATAATAACGATAATAGTCTAAAATGTGACAATAAGTTTTCATGTGACAGTTGGGACAAACAATAATATAACGCAACTAAAGTTAATTTCTTAAACAAGGAAAGAGACTATCTTTCCTTGTTTCATGTGGCCTCTCGAAATGGGACTTCCCGTCTAACAATATTTTTGCCCCCACTACCTTTACATTACCTCTTCTGTCTTTTTGCTCGATGAGTATAACTAACGATAATAACTGTAAAGCAGAAGTTCGGAGATGTATTGGTATTGCAAAAATTGCGATGATTCGCTTAACTAAAGTTTGGAAAGAGAGATGTAACTCTCAAAATATCAAGATGAGACTTTTGAGTGCCCTTGTATTCTCAATATTTCTATACGGGGCAGAGACTTGGACTCTTAGCGGACGCGAGAGCCAAAAAATTTATGTATTTAAAATGTGGTGCTGGAGAAAAATACTTCGTATACCTTGGACAGCTCATAGGAAAAACGTTTCCATTTTAAACCAACTCGACATTAAGAAAAGGCTGTCCACAATATGTTTGCAACGTATTCTGCAATTTTTCGGTCATGTTGTTCGCAAAGGTGAAGATAGTTTGGAGAGATTAATAGTTGTTGGAAATGTTCCGGGGAGAAGATCAAGAGCACGATCACCAACTAAATGGTCTGACTTAATTAAGAATTCAGCTGGAAACTCATTTTACGAAGCTCTCAGTGCAGCTGAGATAAAGACCAATGGAGAAAAATTGTTACAAAATTTGGCAATTACAAGGGAGACTATTTTTTACTGAAATTAACAAAACAATTTTCGTTTAAAGATCGTACTACTTACGTATGTCTTTATGATTGCATGTATTATCGACGATCCTGAACACGTAGTCTTTGCTAGTATCTTCATTTTCCGTTAAGGCTGGCAGTGGTCTTCTTCTTTTTGTGTAATTTTTTCCTGATCTCTGGGACCACAACGGTGGATCCAGCCTTCCATGAGGTAGCAGTCCTGTCTCTATACAACTCAGAAACGCCAACATATGTCCACCTGAAAACAAACCTTTGATGGCAAAACAATGTAAAAAGGCAATAACTCAACAGAAAATAAATGTAAAAAAATAAAAGGAAATTAATTATATGATTGAAATATAATTATATGATTAGAAGATGATAAAAGATTAAAGTGTCTACGTAAGTTGAAACCATACGAGAAACTTTTTTATTATTAATTTTACGAAAAAAAGTTATTCTTTGTAAAAAGTTGTGCATGGTTCAAAACCTAAGATGCAATCATCATATACCGGGTGGTGAATCGTCAAATGGACCATAGGAAACTCAATGAGAAATTTTAAATTGTTGAATTGCTGCTTCCTTAATTATTTTAGATCAAAAGTCATAAAAAACTATTTGTAGAGGACTAAAATCTGAATTAAAAACAAATGTTAAAACCGTTCTACGACTTAAATGTACTTAAAAATTTTGCAAAAATATAATACATTTTTCAGGCCACCCCTAAAAGTTAGGCCACACGTAATGCAAGAATATATATTAGGACGTTTGTGTTTTATCATATTTATGTCAGATGTTTGGCAATTTGAATTGTCAATTTTTTTATTTTATGATTAAATTATAAACAATGAATTTTACTAAATACTACTACTAATGAACATTATTACTTTGTGAACAATAAATTATATTGTTTATAAATCGATCAATATAATGAAATGTACTCAGTTGACGAAAAATCGCACAATGTTGTATTCAGGCAATAGCGCGAACCTTTTCCTGCCACTACCGGATCTTTATTTAACGTAAGATATTCTAATTCACTAAAATTTAATTCCATGTTAAGTTAAGTTATACAACAATTTAATGAATTCCAATATACTGTTACTGTGATCTTTATTCCTAATAATAATATATGATAATTTCTAAACATAAAACTTTAACAAATGTTATAATAAAACATGAATAAAACATTTTTATTATTGCTTTTTTCTTCTCAACTGAGTACATTTTTTAATCAACTTAATTTTTTTTAAAATCCACAAAGAAAAATTCCTGTAGCTGGCTGTATACCACGTATAACAAAAAGAGGTTAGTCTTTGTAAATGGGTATATTTATATGGGTATTTTTTTAAATAAATATACCCATTTACAAAGACTAACCTCTTTTTTTTTTTCTTTTTTTTAATTTTTTTTAACAATAAATCACAAAATTTTGGCTATTTAAATCATAGATAAATGTAATATAATTGATTTAAATATTGTCAAATATCAGAAACAATAATATGACAAAACGCAACACGTAATACACATTTTTTCACAGAAAAATGTATTATATTTTAGCAAAATTTTGGAATACGTTTAAGTGGTAGAATAATTTTAACAGTTGTTTTCGATACATATTTGAGTCCTCTACAAATAGTTTCCCATGACTTTTGGTGTAAAATAATTAGGGAAGCAGGAATTGAACAATTTAGAATTTCCCATTGAGTTTCCTATGGTCCGTAATGTGTGACGGTTCACTACCCTGTATAAAATGTTATCCATCTTACACGATGTATGTTAATAAATGTGAAATTCGCTCAAACATCGCTAAAATGTTACAGCAGACATTAAATCTTGAATGTTCATTAGATTTTTAATTAATTTTATTTTGTGAAAGTTTGCTTATTATTTTTTATCGTAACAGAAGAGTTATCTTATTTTTAATAAATCAAAAAGGATGTTCGGTATCGGTAATTTGAGAAAAATTTGCAAATTTTATCTTTCAATTAAAAGGATGTAATTATTGCATATTAAAACAGTTTTTAATTCCAAACAACTTTCCAAAATAAAAATTTTCGATGTAAAATATAAAGGTACTCGAGCAAAAATTCATATTTTTTGACATACCTCGTATAGCATTGATAAAATTTGATATATGTTGGTTGCATCTTAGGTTTTAGAGCATGCACAAGTTTTTATTAACAATAACTTTTTTCCTAAAATAATAATAGAGTTGCCCATATGGTTTCAACTTACGTAAACACACTGTATAAACAGAACTGCAGCCCTTGAAGATCTTTGGATTGTCGTTGGTTAGTTTTATCCATATTTTTCCTTTCTACATTTGTTCTGTTACATCTGGTATTTTCCCATTTCTTCCAGAACTGCTTCTCTTCATTTCATCCATTTCAAGTTCTGATGGACTTTCCATAAAAAATTTCTTAAATCTCCCAAAAAATAAGTTGGAAGTCCTGGTCTCACTAATTAATGATTTCTTTAGGGTTGTAGTAGCAGCCCTACTAGAACCTTGTGGTTCTAGTAGAGCTGCCCAATCTGATGTTATTTTTAACTTATAAAAAAGAGCAATAGGGTATCATTTTGGCCTTTGTAGAATAATACATTGCAGAAGCTACTTCAGAAGTCACGGATTTTAACTCTTCCCTCTTTATATATTTCAGAAACTGTTTGCTTTATTCGTAAACACCTGCATTTTTTTCCAGCAAGTCTCCATTTGCAACTTAAATCTGCAACTTCTTTCCTTAAGTTCCGTAAAATTAAAAATGCCTATCTATCTGAGAGACCATATTATTCAATGCAAATTATACAATTTTCAGTGACAATAAAGCTTCTTTTTCTATTCTATTCTATTCCTTGACTGCCTTATTCTTCCATCTCTTTCGTGGGCAAATGTTAACTCGGGAAGAAATAATTCCAGATAACTACGTACAATCCAGGCAAAAATGTGTTATTGATGTAGTCTGTTAATAGCAACAACAAAACGAACGTCAAAGCAGAAACGAAAAAAATATAAGTAAATAAAATATTGGAAAATTTTGCAAGTGAGCTTACATATCTTACCTTTAGGAAAGTGAATTGGTGGTCTTTGGACACCATCTTGTCCAACCAGGATCACAGTACCGCCGGTCTCACTATCTTGGTGACAGTGAACATATACAATATCGTCAAGTCTGACGTTCAAAGCATAATCCCAATATATACTGCAAATAAAAACAGTTTAGTAACTTTATTAAAAGGGAACTTACTAATATTTTTTATTTATTAACTTTAACTTTTTTAACTTAACTTATTAACTTAACTTTTTTATTACAAATAAAATTAGACTTTTTTTAAATCAAGTTTAACGTACGTTGTAATCGTTTCAAAAGTTTCAAATTATTTTCAAAGTTTTAAAAATTTATTATTATGATTTCTAGTACACATTCAAATTAATGTTGCTCACGCCATCTATCCGCTGAGTGCGAAAACACCTAAACTATCTCAAGGATCCAACTGCAGTTGATAATAGTTCCGGCTTTGGCCCCAAAAGCGAGGGTTACAAAGCCCTGCTTACCTTCGCCCAATTTATCTTTCCTTTTTCTCTTTGAACGTCCAGCATACAGGACGAAATCTTGTTGGTCTCTTGAGTGGTCTCTTAACGAGGTAAGCCGAAAAATTCCTTTTTTTTCTTTTAAATTTTAAATAAATATTGCCAGAACTGTGTTTATTGACCCGATGTTATATAAATAGCTGCGAATTTATGGTATGTGTGCTGAAACCAGAATGTATAGTAAGCCGCGATTACATGACACCCTAAACAATTCGCAGGATGACCATTATATGGTTGTGGTATAAGTGCCTTTTTTGGAATATTCCGTTTATTTTGCCCCTCGATCTTATAGATTTTTATGGTGGATATTATATTTTGCTGCAGATGGATTTAACGTACTGAAATCCCAGCCTGAGTACCTAGTTGGTAAAAATTATATCCTCTCTACAAGTCACACAAGCATTTGGATAATTTCGGTTGTACCAATTTAATATTTTTTTAATTGAACAGTTAAGATTATCTATGAGCTAAATAACAGTGATGTGATTTGTTAATGGTCTTTTAGTTTCATAACTCTCTACATAATATACAAAGATCTCCTATATTATAGAATTTTTTTATGTGAACGAATTTCAAAATTTGGGATAAACTATGATTTTATTTTTATATAAGTTTTCTCATTTATAATCTAGTGCCAAGATATAAAATGTTTGTTTTGTTACGATATAATTTTAATTTTAGTTTTGTATAAGCACTTCTTATTTGTAATTTAATATCTAAACAGAGACTATTTATTTTTTTTCGGGATGACGTAATTCTCCTAGAATCTTTTACTAACTTTTGTTCATTACAAAATAATAAAGGTTAGCTTTGATTTGTCTGAGCTCGTTTCTTTACGGGGGTAAACGATTAAAGGATGGTATCCAATTCATTTTAATTTTAAAGATATTACAAACAGCGTGTATATGAATTTTCAAAGAATCACGCCACAATCTATTCCCGACGCGAGCAAAAGGGCCTAGAATGTTTATGTACGTAAATAGTTTGATTACGTTACAAAGTATAGTCAACACAATAGCAGGTGAAGGAGGTTGTCAAGACCATAAACCATTGTTGTACGGATATGGTTGAAATTAATATGTTTTTTTTTTAATTCTGAGATATCTATTAATTCGTTAAGTTAAATATACTTAAAAAAACATATTAAAAAACTACATTTTTCTTTATACTAACCTTTTGTCTTGCGCTTCGTCGACGAAACCATTCATAAGTTGATTTGGAGTCCATTTTATAGCTAGGCCAGACGCCATTTGGTGCAAACTTAGATACCTATAAAATATTTAGTGTAAATAGAATTAAAAGTGGTGAAACTCTTTATCGGTGCGAAATCTTTTTCGGTGCGAATTTTTATTTTGCAAGCAAAACTGAGCAAATCAGTCGTTTATTACAAGGTAAGGATTGCATTTTAAAGAAAAAGCTAAGTCTTAAGCTGTTAAAGACAAGCGGAGTAGTTGATTCATCCTATTACCAATTTGGATCGTCCAAAAAAGCTCGAATTTTCCTTTTAAAAAGAAAAAAAGGTATTAATCTTAAAGTATAGCGAAAAAGTATTTAAAACGGCCTAGAGTAGACAAAGAATGGATTTTCGTGTCGTGTCTTTTGTCCACAATATACAAAAAATAAAATTACAGTATACATTTTCGGAACTGAAATTTTCTACTGAAATTTTATTGTTTCCTTGTTTGTCCCATAGTATGCTTGAATTTTTTTGTTTTGTTATCCCAGCTAATTCTTTAACTTTTTTATGGAGATTGAAGTTATCATATTTGTTTTGTAAGTCTTCTATTACTTGGCATTTTCCAGCAAAATAAGTCTCTTTAGCTTCTCGTATGTTCCCTCTTATTTGATTATGCAGCTGTTGGTACTGAGTTATATTGATATTCCTTTGCCTTCTTCTGTCCTCCATCATTTCCAAGATTTCTTCTGTCATCCAATCTCCTTTCTTGCATCTGGTTGTTGTGAGTTCTCTGCAACTTGGTTCGATAATTGCATTTTTAAAGAGTTGCCACTGTTCTTCTACATCCCCATCAATTGATTCTGGTGTGGATTCTAGGTTTGCATTAATTTCTTCTTTCAGTTTTTCTTTGACGTCTTCTGATTTTAATTTTTGTATGTTTTAGTTTATCACTTTTGTAGCTTTTTTGTGAATGTTTTTTAAGTGAAGTTGGAATTTTGCTACAAGAGGATTGTGGTCCGACTCCACGTCTGCACCTGGGTACGCTTTCACCGATTGTATTGTGTTTCGGTATCTGTGGTTTATTAAAATATAGTCAATTTGGTTTCTAACGGGTTTATTGACCTTGTCAGCTGGCGATTTCCAAGTGTAAAGGCGTCGATTTTATATTGTAGATAACTATTTCTTCACCAGAGTGTATCACCTTATTCCTTATAATAAAAATTCTTTTAGCGATCCTTGAGCTTTACTCTTGATTTTGGATAAAGGTAAGTATACTTCATTACGACAAGGATTAAATATAAAGTTGCTGTTTAGGATCCTGTGATCATAAGTACAGTACAAGGCAAACAGCACCTTTCGAGAGTGCAGTGTTTGTGTTTTTTGAGCTAAGTCTGAGAAAGAACGAGTCCAGTTACTATTGTTCCTGCAAGCCGTTTTTATGTCTACATCCAACTTCAGAACTAGTATATTGCACTGAAATTATGTTATTGGACGTTTGCATTAACATGACAGTGATTGACGCTACTATTTTGGTGCTACTTAAGTTCTGTCAGCCGTTTAAACGTCCTCAGCCGACTCTAATTTGTAATTTGTAACATGCAGTATTCAGTTGTCGGCTGAAGGTATCAACGGCGATGTTACTCCAGTAGCAGAAAGAGGAGTCCTTTCTCTGTCATCTATCATGCCAGTGCAAGATTGTGCTTGAGGGTGTTTTTGTGTGTTAAAGTGTATGTACTGACCTGACAACAACAAAAACTCTGTTCTCTAATAACCATTGTTCCTAGCGATCCATGAAATTACTTATTTATAAATCCCAATAAATTTTTAGCGTTTATTTAGTTACAAAATACAGTGACAACACTACCTATTAAAATGACATACAATGTATCTTCTTTAAAAAACACGCCTTGTACAGTTTTTACTATGAATAAGCATAAATTCAAAACATAACTTACCCTGGTATAGGTTTTGACAGATCAGAATTGACAGGTAAAACTAGTACATTATTTTTCCCAAAAAGTAAAGTGGCTTTTGAGTTTTGGTGTAAAGTTTCTACATAATCTTTAGCTATTTGTTGAGTGGAAGACCTATTAGTTATGACGTCATCGGAACTGGTATTCAAGGACCTTCTAAAGTTGAGAATTGGTCGACGAACAGATGGAGGAGTCGAATGACCACTGGAGATTCTGTGTCTTTGGACCTAAAACATTATTGGCATTTAAGATAGAAAATATTGACAAAAAATACGCTTGAATACTGTTGCATTTGTCACACGATATACATGTAATATTTTGGATGCGACTGTAACACCATATCTCGGAAACTTATATCCATTTGTATGTTGGTTCCATAAGGAACAATTCCTCTAACCATTGTCTTACTCTATCTTTAAACAACTTTTTGGATGTCTTGTATCTGTCCGTCTTGTAGCATTCCAAAATACTATTAAAATCTTCTGCATTTTCTTATGAGCTCTAGTATTTCGGTTTGAGTCAATATCCTAACCTCAAAAAAATTTGGTGTCATTCTGTTGGTTTTTTTAAGACATCGTTGAGTTTATATTCTAAAATACTTCACATTTTCGAATCAAAAGTAAATATAAAATAAATTAGTACTACTGGTCTAAAAGATATATGAAATAGTGAGCTAACACGTGCAAAATTTATAAAATATCTTAGTTTTATTAAGGAAAAAGACTTACCAATTCATCCGCAGGTGGATCCGTCCAAAAATGGTCGTGGTTCTTCATTCTAGAGTAGTCTAAAGCACAAGGTCCCATCAGCAGCGAACTTAGAATAGTTCCATATTCAGGATCCGCTACCAACGCGTCTTTGTCGTAATACTTATGAGCGTTTGACACTAAGAAGTCTATTATTTTGGCTAGATGTTTTTCAAACAGGGCCAATCTGTAAAAAGAAATGATTGTATAATTATAGATGAACAAGCATTATATCAAAGCATTACTTTAACTTCTACTTTGCTGCACATCCAAAATTTGATCAAATTTTCGTATGCTAAGAAGGGAAGAATAAATCCCTTGAAGTTATATGATCTGGTGAATTATTATCACAGTTTTAGCTGTAGAATGTTTTCTTTTGCCCTCTTCCTTCGACTCAGTATTATTTGTTTCCGTTTCGAATCAGTAAAACAATCGTTTTATTTAAAAATTATAATATAACACCCATAGACATTAAATTATTTCCATTAAATAGCATTTCGTCGTTCAGATGTCAAAATCTTGTATCTCAAAATTAGTGTATTTTGGGAAATCACCTAAAACTTCCCATAGTAGAAAATATAACTTTTAAAGTTATTTTTTTTTTCTGAAATGTGGGTAGTTCCACGAAATGAATTATTTGTGATAGTGATTAAACTCGAAAAAAATAGAGTTAGATTTTTTTGGAAAAAAATCGTGAGATACGAGTTTTTGAAATTTAAATAGTATTTAATTTCAGGTCTTACGAGGTTTTGGTAGCATATTTTCAGCCCTCTTACTCCTTTTTACACGCAAAGAACAATATTACAGAAGAAAAATAAAATGTTTATTCTTAAATAAGAAATAAAACAAACATGTTACATAAGTACTCTGATATAAAATAAAATAACACAACTATTTTCCATATTTTGAAAACAAAAAATTAGTGCTTCAACGAGTCATAAAAACCATGATAATCTGGGTGAATAACAGTCTTAAGAGACTGCAGGTGATTAAATTTGTCTTCTGTAATGGGCAAATGGTCATTATACATTTTTCTTACGATTCCTGCATTATTCGTATTTTTGCGAACTGGTAAAAACTGCCACTCCTCCTCAAAGTTTAGTTTGAATTGGACAGGCAAATCTCTGGAATACCTGAGAGCCCTCAGATTATTCACGCATGCATCTCCCACTTTTTTTCCTGGACGAATGGATGAATAATACTTAATTTCGGAATAGTCATTAAAAAATTGGTGATCAATGTATTTAACTTTGTATGGATTTTGGAAATTTTTACGGGCCTCTTTAATTATTTCCACATAATTGGATGGTGAGTAAATGCATTTATTTTTTTTCTTTCTTTCAATGGTGGAGTGCACACTATCGCACTCCATTTGCGAGTGACCTTTAACTAAATATTTCTGTATAATTACCGTATCATTTTCGTTGCAGAAATGCTGAAGTGCATTAGCCAATGTTACGTTGCGATTTTGTGCAGAACATCCATCGCTATAAAAAATTTTTGGTTTGTCCTTTTCTTGGGCATCTAACTCTTCATTTAAAAAATCAATTATACAAGATGTAAAGGAGTTGGCATCCGTTTTGCCCTCTCCCTCATGCCATACATAACAAACTACCTTATTATTTGTTAAATTATAGATGGTGAAGTTATGGCATGCTAGTTTCTGTTTAAAGTATACCATGCCTGCTGGGACGACAGGGACAAGTTGGACCGCTTGTACATCCATCGTAAATACGCACACTTTTCCTTCCAACGCATCTTCTTTATCCTTGATTTTTTCCTTTCTAGCGCGATCTTTTTGGCTAATATGCGATTCATAATCTTCTTGCTCTACATTGCCCAGTTTATGCGAAAAACATAAATCACACTGGTCCTTCCTTGGATGATACACATCAATGTTTGTGTTTTTCATTTCTTTTAAGAAAACATCATATCCTACAGCAGATTGTGGTTCATAATTTTTGTATACGTCATATACTTCCTTATATGATTGAAAAGTTGTTTCCAAATAAAGTTTACTCGTTGATGAACGGCAATAATGGGAGGGCATCTTTGGCAGTTTTTCAAGGAATGCTTTAACTTTATTTCTGCGTTCAATATTGACAGGTTTAATCTTGGAAGGAAAAGTAGTAGTAGTTACTTTTGGGATACCCGCGTCACAACTAGTTTTCACCCAGTTTTGAACACTCCATTCACCCAATCCTAATGTGGAGAGAAACATTTTCTTGCAAACTGGAATTACGGTATTATCTATTTTCAAATGATAAAATAAACTTAAATTACGCCTTGATTTATTTTGTGTTCTTTTTTGCACTGTTGGCTGTTTATTAACTAGCGTACACACAAATATCTTTCGTTGATGCCAATCCATCTCAGACCAAAACCCATCAAAAATTTTCCTTCGTTGATCATCAGTTATCATTGAACATTTCCTTTTTTCTTTTGCTGCTAAACACTTTGCTGAAATACATCTTGGTTTCATTTCCCGGGAGTTTCTCTTTATGGTAACTATAGATCCATCTTTCTCCTTCTTTTTTGCTCTATATTCTTTACCACGCATTCTTAAACATTTTTGTTCATTTCTTTCCCAAGTAGAAGAATCTGCTTTGCCTTTTTTGCTACGCCTTCTCTTCTCATTTTTTTCTTCTCGAAGAGCGTCTACTTCTTTAGGCGTCGCTTTAATTTTTTTGCGTCTGGCGACATTTACAGCTTCATCTTCAGAATCCGACGAACTATTTGGATGATAACTTGACTCTGATCCTTCGAAAGGTTCTTCAAATTCAATATCGGTGTTATAGTGTCGATTTTCTGCAGCTTCACTGATATTTTCTATATTCAAAGTTAGATCCCTACTTACATTCTCCATCTGAGTACTGTCCTTGACATCAACATTCATACTATCTTCTATATTAATACTAGCCAAACATCTGCTTTGGTTGTCATTTTTTAAATGAGATCCTGTTTGAATAGCAGTACTCTTTGGGTTAAAAATAGTACAGGAATGTACTTGAATGTTTTGTGAACAACCTGATGAAAAAGCAGTGTGCTGGAAACTCAAGGATTCTTCTCGAAAGGTCTCATAAACTTGTTCAAAGCCTGTATTTGCTTTTTTCCAATCTTCTACATGACAGCTCTTAAGTTCTGCGACTTTTATCTCTTCTTCTGCGATCTCTTTAGAATGTAAATTTTGATTGGTAGTACTTTCATTCTGCTCAATATCAGAATCCGCTTTTAGACTTTCTAGTGCTGATTTGACCATTCTTAAAGCCCGGCTTGCCTAAAAATAAAACAAAAAATACTTATTTTGTTTCCAAAGAAACCTCGTAAATCAATATTGTAAATACTTGATTATATTTTGGTAGGTAACGAAACCTCGTATCACAATATTTTTCACTTAAAAATTTACTGTAATACATTATTTTGGAAATTCTTGTACCAACTGACAAGTTTTTGCTTTTCCTTAATTGATTTATATAATTTGTTTCAGTTGATCACTTGAAATATAATAATTGAGTCATCATAACCTCAAATTTTTTGGAACAATAATAGTTATATTTCTGTTTAACGTAAAACAATGCGTCTACGTATTATTAAAACAAAGTATTAAAATGTTTTCACTTACCATAGCTTCTAATAAACAGTTATAATTCTTTTAAACCTATATAACTGCACAAAACTGTTCAGTATTTAACAATTTTTCAGACACGTGTTGACTTACGTGGTTTCGTGCGCAACATGTGAGATACAAGGTTTCTAAATTCGAGTGACGGAGGTGCAATTTTACATGCTTTGTAATAAGAGGTTTCTCAATCGATGCGGCTCGATTTCCTAATATAGGCCACACAAAAAACGAAAAACCATCGAAAATTGAGATACGGGGTTTTGACATCTTAGCGACGATTTAGGAGAACAGCTCTAGAGTATAGCGGAAACAATTAACATAATCGGCATACTGACTTACTGATATTTCCTTAATTCTCTAAGTATATATTTTTAATCACAAGACATACCTGATCCATAAATATTTCGGCAGAGGATTACTAGGTAGCGAAGCGTTCTTTTTCAGCGTAGGCTTGGTTACGCTATCACTGCTGCTTGAAGACCTCCTAGTTGGGTCCGTGTTTTCGAGATCTTCTACTTTCTTGGATATACTGGATGCTTCTGGACAGTGTTTCGCTATTTTGTGAAGCAAAGCTGTTGTGGAAGACGTTTTGAATAGACCAAGAGCTCTTCGCCGTAAACCTAAAAAATAAAGGTAGCTACTGGTTAAGTTTATAGTTTTATTTAGCGATGCATCTTTATTGCAGGTGACAATAAATAGTTAATACCTAGTTTTGAATATTTTCACGGTTCTTTTTAATATCGTAAATTACACCGTATTCCTTGCGTTTACGGCGTTCCAGAATCTTACTTTTTTTAATTTATAATGTTTTGTGCTTCCTCTTTTTAGTGAAACTATAGCGTACACGTCAAGTATCATACAATTTTATAATACAACTTACAAAATCATGAATTTTACAAAGATTGTCATGCATTATATGTAGAGACGGACAGACTATTAGTAATACTTCGCTATGTTGATGATATATATATATATATATATAGATATATTATAATATATATATATATATAGATATTATATTATATATATATATATAGCGAGTGTTTGCAACTTTAATTTTGTCGCTTCTCGCATCCCAATCGCCATAATTTCTTATCGGCCCAGTCTCCTTCTTGAAGACCTCTATTTTCCATTTCTATATGAATATTGGATATCCATTTCTTTCTTGGCCTTCCCCGTTTATTTCTCTGTGTAGGTCTCCAGTTCCAAACCTTTCGTGGTATCCTTTCTTCGTTCATCCGTCTCAGGTGTCCATACCATTTTAATTGTTTTTCGGCTATCGTATCCATTATTGTGTTCTTTACTTTCATTCTCTCTCTTATGTTTTCATTTCTTATGTGGTCAAACAAAGTTAACCCGGAACATCTTCTCCAGTACATCATTTCCGTTGAGAGGAGTTTTTGTGACATATTATTGTTAAAGACCCACACTTCTGACCCATACGTCAGCACCGGCTGAATCATAGCCTGATATATATTTTTCTTTGTTTTCTTAGTTAAAGTTTTATTCCACAGGATCGGATGTAGTGTTTTTATCATGTTTTTTCCTTTTCCTATTTTTCTTGTTATATCTTTGTCGTCTCTCCCGTCTTCGCTTAGTGTAACTCCGAGATATTCGTACTGATCAACGTTTTTAATTAATCCGCTTTCTGTTTCCATGTCTTGACCGATGCCTCCTATATTCATGTATTGTGTCTTTTCGGTATTAACCTCTAATCCCCATTTTTTGAATTCGTCTATTAGTTTGTTTATCATGTACGTCATATCTTGTAGGTCCTCGGCAAGAACTACCTGGTCGTCTGCGAAGAGGATTGTGTATATAGGAGTGTCATTTACCCATATGCCCATTGGGCTGCATTTTCTCATCCAATGTTTTAAAGCATTACCAAGATATATTTTAAATAGGGTTGGGGAGAGGCAAGAGCCCTGTTTGACACCCTTTGTTTGGGTGAAACCCTTGGAAATTTGGTTTCCAACCTTAATATAAGCTTGGTTATCTTGATATAGCTTTTTCACGGCATTTATATATACTGCATTTATACCAGCGTTTTCCAATGTTGTCCATAGTCTCTGCAGTGGTACGGAGTCAAACGCTTTACGGAGATCTATAAAAGTGGCATGAAGTTCTAGTCCTCTTGCTAATCTCTTTTCCGTTAGGTGTTTGAGAGTAAATACATTGTCGACACAAGATCTCCCTGGTCGGAATCCACTTTGTTCTTCGATCTCTGTGGCTTCTTTTTCTATTCTCGCTTTCAGAACTCTTTCATACAGTTTGCCAGTGGATGACGTAATGCTGATACCTCGGTAATTACTGCAGTCATTCCTGTTTCCCTTTTTGTAGATGGAGTTTATGTACGAGACTTTCCAATCTCTTGGGATACTTTCTCCTTGTAGGCACTTGTTAAACATTTTACAAAGCAATTCTAATGTTATTGCAGTGGCATGTTTGAATAACTCGATAGGTAAATCACCCGGCCCAGGAGCTTTATTATTTTTCATTTTTTGTAATGCGTTTTTTATTTCTTCTACGGTAATCATCGCCACTTCATTTAACCCCGTTTCAACTCTATCTATCTGTGTGTCTAGAAACTGTGTACGTTGTTCATTTAATAGATTTTCATAATAATTTTTCCATCTTTCTATGTCTATGGGGTTTATTTTTTTTGTTTCGTTTGTATTTTTTCTAAGACTGTTGATAGTTTTCCAAGCTTGTCTGGACCTAGATCCTCCTACCATTGAGCTTATTTCTGCACACTTGTTGTCCCAGGTTATGTTTTTTGTTTTTTTAATTTCCTTTTTTACTATATATTTGTATCTGTTATAGTTCTTTCGGTCTTCCTCATCTTTTGTCGCTAACCATTTGAGATACAGTTTTTTCTTTTCTTCTACCAGTTCTAATAAACCTTCTGTCCACCAATAATTTCTACGTTTTACTTTTTCTTTCGTACCTAGAGCTTCTAATGCTGCTTCATGAATTTTGATTTTCAAAGTCTCATACATTTCTTCCGCTGTTCCGTTTATTTCTTCGTCTAATTTTTGTGCCAAACGTAGTTTATAAAGAAAACTTGTGGACTCATTTTTTAAGCTGTCTATGTTATAGAGCCGTGTGGATTCTTTGTTTGTCTGTTCTTGGGATTTATTTTGTTTAATATATCTTATTTCCACGGGTGCCTTTACTAGTAGGTGATCCGATCCACATTCTGCCCCTCTCCAAACTTTTACATCGTAGGGTCTTAAAGATGTCTCTTGTTTAACTACTATATAGTCTATAATTGACTGCAGTTTTCTTGTCTTTTGAGTCCATGTATATTTATTTATGTCTCTATGTTTGTAAAATCCATTCAGTATTTTTAACGAATGTTGTTCGCATACCTCCAACCATCTTGTTCCGTTCTCATTTACTACATCTTCTCCGTGTTGTCCAATTATTTTGTTGTCAAGAGCTTTACCTACTCTTCCGTTCAGGTCCCCTAGCAGGACTATTTCTTGCCTTTTTTTTATTTTATTTAACTCTTCTGAGAGTTTGTCGAAGAACATGTCTTTAGTGTTTGTATCTGAGTCGTCCGTGGGTGCATAGATGCCAATTATTTTTATGTCTCTCCCCTTTGTTGTAAGGTCTACTGTTATAATTCTTTCGTCTATCGGGTTCCAGTTGGTAATACATTTTTCCATGTTTTTTCTTATCACGACCGCTACTCCAGCTTTGGCTCTTTTTGATTTTTCTACTCCGCTCCAGAAGTATATATAATCGTCTTTGTAGTGGTTCCCCTGTCCTTTCTTTTTTGTTTCGCTGAGTACTGCGATGTCAATTCGGTATGTACTGAGTTCCTTAAATACTTGGTCTTCTTTTGTATTCAGTCCTTGTATGTTCCAACATCCAAAATTCGTTAGCCTTTTTCTTTGCCTATGTCGTTTTCCGTTGAAGCCATCCGAGTTCCGAGGCTGTTCTTTGGGATTTTTAGCAATATTTCTTTTACGCAGGGCGGGGAGCTAACCTACCGCTGTAACCCTCCTCCTTCATCCGGGCTTGGGACCGGCACTGGCATTTACTGAGCTACTCAATCCACCCAGTATCTACAGAGGCGGAGTTGTATGCTGATGATACAGTCGTAATAGCTGATAGCCAAGAAGCGCTACAACGACTAATAGATAGAATAAACACCGAAGAGAACGACTGGCTTGAAGATTAATATAGACAAGACAAAGGTAATGGTGGTTAGTAGAAACGAAATGTGCAATTAAATATAAAAGTTAAACAACAAGAACATCCAAAAGGTCCCCAAGTTCAGATATCTCGGTAGTTGGATAACAGAAGATCTAGATCCAGACATAGAGATACGTAGCAGGATTGAGCAAGCCAGAGCAGCATTTACTAATATGAGAACCCTGCTAAGCAACACAGCCTCAACTTAACGCTTCGATAATCGCTTTGTAAAATGTTACATTTACTCCATACTGCTACATGGTGTCGAAACCTGAACCATTAAGGCCATGTGATAAAATGAGTGGAGGCTTTGAAATGTGGGTATTTAGAAGACTACTTAAAATTCCCTGGACAGATCACACAGCAAATGTCGAAGTATTAAATCAAATGCGCAGAGAACGAGAATTGCTGCCAATAATAAAAAGAAGAAAAACTGCTTATCTTGGTCATATATTTCGAAATTCCAAGTACCAGTTCTTAAAGCTTATTATGGAAGGGAAGATAGAAGGAAAACGAGGCATCGGAAGAAAAAAATAAAGAAATAGGGGTCCTTATTACCAAAGTAGTGCAAACCGCAGTGCAAATGATTTTCCCTTGTCTATCGTTACCAAAGTACAAGTTTTTGTAAAACCAACCAAAAAATTAATTTGAAATTGATTTAAAACAACTATATTCTAGCATATTCGAAGAATAATCTTTCCAAACCATAACTTTAAGTTAGGCAGTTAAGCAAAAATGTATAATGCCTTATAGTTTTTATTTCATATAACCTCAATATTGAACATGTTTTCTCACCTTGAGACAGACAAGCCTCTACAGCTCCACATAAGGAAGTCACGCATCCGCTTTCTTCATGCACAAATTTTTTTGTCACCGATTCCTCCATTACTTGTTTGACTTCCTTCTTTACAGTGGCTATAAGCCGCTCTTTGTAGTCTTTATCTAGAAATAGAAATAGGTGGCTTAATAATATACTTAAATTACGTATCAAACAAATGTTGTTGTACCCATTTATTTACAATACATTCCCTTCATTTTACAAATACTGTTTATTTTCTATATATTTATAGTACTTTTACATTTACATTAAATGTTCAACCCTGCTGTTCTGTTCGAGTGTGTTTAACCCGAAAAAAAAATCATTCCTTGTTTAAAAATACGTTTCTTTTGACGTTACAACGTCTTTACAACTTAAATTGTGATTAACCCCCATTATAGTCGAGGCCTCAGGGACGAAAATGCCAGTGAACCTCTAAAAATCATACGAACAAACTGAATTTTGCTGAGAATATCATTAAGGGATCTCAAAAAAAAATTCAAAAGAGTTTTCCACTTCTACACAGTGTCTTCCCTAAAACAACCCTTGTAGGTGAAAAAACGGAAAACATCGATTTACCTAGAAGCTGTACGCCGTAAAAAAAAGTTTTAAACCAGAAATGTAGCTGAAGAAATTTTGACTAAAAATGTTTACTAGCACTTTTTGTGTAGAATGAATAGTTCTCTCAGAAACAACGCTTGAAGCGACTTGCGTTTTTGAACGTCAGTTAAGAGCACAAAATCAATTTTTTTTAAATAAAATTTGTATCAACAGTAAAGTAAAAATTCTATATTTTTTATCAGAGTGTTCAAATACTTGGGCCTAAATGGCCGCAATCTAAAATAATGAAGGGTAGACCCATCAGCAAAGGCATTACTAATATCAGGATATCTTAGAGACATATTTTGTAGAAATAAATGAGTAGTACGATGGACAAAAAATAAAAGAAGGGAATGGAAGGACCATGTTAGCTGAAAAACCTCAAACACACCTCGAAAATCTGGCTGACCGCCTACGAGGCACTGGCGAAGCGTCCATATAACCATTATTACCATTGCTAACAATTAAAAATCTTTTTAAAAAAATAATTCCATTTATATTTTTTACCAATAGAAATATGTGTTAATAGTATTTCAGTAAGTAGCCAAAGACGCTCGAAAATATTGGCAAGTTATGCGACTCGGTGGTACGTTAAATTGTTAACACTTTTGTTTATGGATACACTTGATGGTACATGGGCTATCATAATATTAGTAGGGTACCAAATTTTATTGTGATTGCTTACTCGTTAGTTCACTCTGTGTACAGTGTGTATGAGTAATTGTTAATTACATCTGGGATGAAAGTCGCATCTCGCTGCGTTATATGATTCTTGTCCACTACTTGTCATTCTTGTCATCTTGTGTATACTTTTGAAGGATAAAACAGTATTATTGTAAAACATAAGGCCAACATCCTTATTTTAAAACGACTTAAAAAAAGAATTAAAAAAACTGTTCGATATTTGTAATGTTTAGTTATTACAGTGAAGAAATCTTGGTTATTGTTTGTGCACTATAAAATTTAGACTGTATTGTTGGCCATGTCCCTCTGTGTTCTACAGAAAATAATCGAGTGGAGCTCAGCAGCGGACTCCGTTTTGTTTTCAATAAGTGGTCAACGATGATAAATATTATAATTGATTAAATTTGATAATATTTTAATTTAAATAGTTTAGAGTTATAAAAAAGTAGTCATTAAGTTTCTCGGTTACATATAGTGATGTGTCAGCCAATTTGGATTCATTTTGGCAAAAATCAAGAATCCGAAAATTCGCTTAACCAAAGCTTTTAAAACAATTATTGCTAAAACATAAAGAGATTATTACAAAAATAGATAAATCGTTAGCATACTTATAGATGCCGCATAGTCTTCACGGCCTGTGAGGCCGCTCCCTTTGGGAAACATGTTTCTGATTCGGTTTCTCTTCGCGGATTCCGGTTCACAAAATGTCCCCCGTAACACAAATCTGAGGGTGCTGGGCGAAATTTTTGGGCAGAAATTGTTTAAACAATTTTTTTTAAACAAATTCCAAAATATATTTTTTTTAATCTGGAAAACTTTTTTTTAGTTTTTTTGGGTCATTTAAACAAAAAAGTCTTTGTCATTTTTCTCTAAAGTTGATAGTTTTCGAGTTATAAGCGATTTAAAGTCTGAAAAACGCGAAAATACGCATTTTTGAGGCTTGAAAACACATATGTAAATTATTATTTTTGAGGTTACCAAGTGTCTAAATTGAAGTTTAAACATTCAACTTCAAGATTGTGAAAGAGTAAACGGGGCTTATTTTAATTTAGACCGTTGTTTTTTAATTGTTAAATATGCGCGTACACTCGATTTTTCAGCCGCGCGGCGCGGCGCGCTAGAGTGCGCTTTATCGTACTTATGCATAGTTTACATATACACTTACGCAAAAAAAACCCGAACAAATCCTTGAAGTTTATTAACATAGTTTTTTCCATAATTTATTTATGTAGGTATTAATTATTGTCATTGGGCTAATTAAATAAATCAATCATCGCAATGTAATAACCGTATATAGTTTTTTTTTCTTCCAAATTTGAACAATATAATTATTATTTATTGAGTATATATTTATTTATATCAATTGTAAATAATATTTTTAAATTATTATTTAAATAATACAATGCAGTAAATATTAATATTAGTAAACTTAATTTTAAATTGCGCGGTGTTTAAAAACAATATATACTATCGCAAAAATGCAAGTTTTTACCTGTTTAACAATCGCGCGCTCATACTTGATTTGTTATTACTTAAACGATCATTAGGAAGACTATTGTTTAATGCCCATTAAAAGGGTATTATATTATTAATGTGTTATTAAAAAAATTGTGAATGGATTTAAAATGTCTTTTTCCGTACCTCTTCTTAAATGAAAACTTACGAAGAAAATTTAGTTTGTATTTTTTGTAATAACATCAACAATATTAAGTTAGTGCAAAAACCTAAAGTAGATTTTTACATAACAATACAAAATGCTGCTCTTCGACGAAAAGACAGTGTGACTGAAAAATTTAATTTAATCTAGCCAATATACCTTGTACCTCTGACGCACTTTACCAACACTTGTTAAGAGCTTTCGCTAAAACATATATTTGGCGAAATGCCATATATTCCGCTATCAAACTCTCGATTTTACACAATATGGATATTATATGTCTGATAGTGGTGGGTTGGGAAACCGTGCAAATGCAAAAAGACTTGCAAAACTAATGCTTGCAACTGCAAGAAAAATCATGTCAACTGTGTACCATTATGTGGATGTGATTTAGATTTTTGTGAAAACAAAGATACTTTTACTGAGTGATATTAGTGTGTTATTTAACAATCTTTTGTACAATTATTTTATGTAACTATTATTAGACTTTAGACGAAATTTATATTATAACTCAATTGATATAAATAAATTATATACTCAATAAATAATAATTATTTGTAAGTATCATGTAAACGATGCATAAGATTACTCTTCAACAATCTTGAAGTTGAATGTTTAAACTTGATTTAGACACTCCCAACTTGGTAAACGCTCAAACTAAATAATTGACATATGTGTTTTCAAGCCTCAAAAATGCGTATTTTTCCGCGTTGTTTTTTATTACTTTAAATCGCATTAAAACCGAAAACATATCAACTATATAGAAACAATGCCAAACACACTGTTATTTGTTTAAAAAAACCAACAAAACCTAAAACAAAACAAAACATTATTCCAGATTTTTTTTTTATTTTTAAAAAAAAAAAAACAAAAAAAAAAAAAAAAAAAAAAAAAAATTTTTTTTAAAAAAAAAAAAAATTTTTTTGGACTTTGTTTTAAAAAAATTGTTTAAGACACTTTCTGTCCAAAAATTACGCCGGCAACCGCTTCAGATTTGTTTTAAATTTTTGGAACCGGAATCCGCGAAGAAACCGAATCAGAAACATTTTCCCCAACGGGAAGGCGGACTCACAGCCTGGGACTAGTATGTTTATATTGCCAACAAAGGAATTAGCATTTCGGAGTCATTTTGAAGCGGATGACCTCTGACAAACGAGGCAATAAAATGTTAACATCCATTTACAAAAAAGATCTCAAAAGTTTTGCCAACATCTAGAAAAGATCAACAGTTTTTTAAAAGATGCCAACAGACCGCCATCAAAAAATTAGCGTCGCAAAAATGGTATATTTTTTACGATGGAAAAAAAACGGAAAAAAAATCGTAAGACAGTCATAAGCCGTCTCATAACTTTAAACAACCAGAAACTTCGAGGAACTAAGAAGCTCGACGACTACACAATTGATTGTGATGAGGTAGAGTAGATCCAAACGAAAGGGAATCGGAAGTTATATTAACATAATTAGAGATTGTGCACCAAAGAAGGTAAACAGGAAGAAAAATAGACCTATATATATCACTTCAAAAAATACTTGCTCCAGTAAATCCAGTAGAACAAAATATAAAAAGTATTAAAAAAGTAACAGCTACTTTTGATAAAAAATTGAAGTTTTTGGAGGAAGTTTTTAATATTTAACCACTTCAGCGTTTATGGATTTTATCTCTCATTAATGACAAGATTAAAGGCAACAATAGCGCCTTGATGAGTTCTTTTATAGATAAAGCTTGCCGTAAAATCAGAACGATAAACTCGAACAAAACCATAAAATATATTATATCGCGTTATTGCGTTACACTAGATATAGATAGTAAAACGTTCAGTTAGGGGAGATCGTATTATTTCCTCTTGGGAAATGTTTTAAAAATTTTCCGATACAAAGTACACACTAAAAGCGATAAAAAGGAGTATACATTTTTGATGTTAAATAAATGGATTTTTTGATATACAAAGTATTAGGTACATAGGTCGCAGAAAATTTACGGCAATATTACTTCTTTTCTCTGACATTTAGCTTTTCTGTGATGTGTATCTGATGTATTATATATGTACATATAACTTTGCTATTTAAGTGTTTGGAACAAAAAATTAGATATTAACCCTTTCATTACTCTAGGGACATGATATGTCCCATCGGATTTCAAAAAATCTGCTGGCATCTGTTTGTCCCCAAAGCCCTTGTTATTTA